GGAACATCTGAAGAATCAAACTTTAATTTACTTGGCATTGGAATATATATAGTCCTGGCCGTAATGAACATCAAACTTTATTAATTGGTAGGTAGTAATAGTAGGTAAGTAGGGACGAAAAGCAAAGGAAGGATCTGATGGAAAATAAGTTTCTTCCGTGAGACTGGCGACCGGCCGAGTAGAAGAAGAAGAAGGTGTCAATTCATCGGCTAATTAAGCTGGTTTCAATTTTCATTTTCCCTACCTGCCGACAGATCAGTTGATCCAGGCCCGTGATTAACAAGGCCCGGTGAGCATCTGACCGCGCGACGAGAGTTGGGCCTCTTCCGGCTGCCTGGTGTTTTCAATGGCTGATGGGCCTAGCCCATATGATGAGTAGACTTCTACAAGACTAATAATTTATCCGTGCTAATGCATAGTATTTCCTACGTTTCATATTGTAAGTCATTTAATTTTTTTTTAATCGGCCGGATGGTAACATGGTGTATCAGACTATCAGCACATAAAATGCTCGTTTCTAAAAGGATACTCCCTCCGTTTCGAAATGTTTGACACCGTTGACTATTTAGTACATGTTTGACCGTTCGTCTTATTTAAAAACTTTTGTGAAATATGTAAAATTATATGCCTACATGAAAATATATTTAACAATGAATCAAATGATAGGAAAAGAATTAATAATTATTTAAATTTTTGAATAAGACGAACGGTCAAATATGTGCTAAAAAGTCAACGGCGTCAAACATTTCGAAACGGATGGAGTATATTGAAATTGAAGGCTCTGAGCATTTTTCACTTGCACAAACTTATGTTTACTTTACATGATTGTACAAGTTTTTCATAATGCACTGTCATTATGCGCCGGACCTCGCAACCTTTTTAACTTGGAAGTACAGTATTGAGATAATGCAAAATGGTAAATTAAGCGTATGGGTACGTATTGTGTACAGTACAGTTTGTGAGCTTGACGAGGAGCACACGCATGGCGCTACGTGACGTGGCGCTGCTTGAGCGTGGACACGTCCGAGCCCAAGGGGCTATGGGATTGGGAGCTAATGACTTGACCATGTACAACAGCACAAGCTCTGTTGCGAAATGAAGATTTGAAGGAGAAAAAAAAATCAATTTTATTGTTTTTTTCTCCTTACGGAGCGGAGTACGAATTTAGATTTCAAATTGCTTTTCATCATTATAGATTTTGGTGTGTCAATGCGTACTACTCCCTCCGTTTCTAAATATTTGATGCCGTTGACTTTTTTAAATATGTTTGACCGTTCGTCTTATTCAAAAATATTTTAAGTAATTATTAATTTTTTTCCCTATCATTTGATTCATCGTTAAATATATTTTTATGTATACATATAGTTTTACATATTTTATAAAAAATTTTAAATAATACGAACGGTTAAATATGTACTTAAAAAGTCAACGGTATCAAAAATATATATATATATTTAGAAACGGAGGGAGTAATAGTTTATTTGAGGAAACGAGTTTAATTGGGCAGGTGCCTCTCCGTCAGGGATCGTGTTCTGCTTGCTGGGCCGGTCGTGCAGTGGAGGCAAGGGTGGTCGGCCCATCTAGTGAGGAAGGTGGTGTCACTAGCATGGAATAAGTTCACTTGTCTTCCCTCAACTTTATATCGAGTTTGTTTCACACCCCTTAACTCTAATACCAGAAATCTTCACTCCTAAACTATATAAAATCGCGCAATTTAGGTCCATAGCAACATGGATACCTAGTTTCGCTGAAATGATGTCCTATTAATAAGCAAAATAAAAATAAAAAGGGGCAATTGCGCATTTAACCCTCTTTTAAAAGTTAATTACCAATTTGACCCTATTTTATCACGTTTATTTGACCCTTCTTTTTAAAATTAAAGATATGGTATAACCCTATTCTGTTAACGTCTTCTAACGATGTTAACTAAAGCACAAACTATTTCTTTTGTCCTTACTAATTTGACCCTATTATATATGGGACCCTATAATATGTGGGTCCGACATGCAAGTGAAGTGAAAAAAAAATATGTTGCCCATGTGTCAGCTCCATCATCTTAGAGAGAGGGAGGGAGCCGGCGAGAGGGGGGAGAGGAGGTCGGCGAGCCTGGGAGGCACGGGCTTTGCTTATTTGGGCTGTCGCCACTTCTAGGTAGGCCTGGGCGTTCGCTCAGGTGGGCCGGCATAACAGGCTAGGCAAGCTCCGCCACGGCTTGCCGGGGGCCATTTTTTTTCATTTTAATTTTTTTAATATTTACATAAATATTATACCGTTGAAAATATTTAAAAAATAGAAGTAGAGAGCGGCAAGGCGACGTGCCACACGGGCCATATGTGTATTTTGCGCTGAGGTGTGAAATGTAATTTTCGCCGCATGCAAAATTCGCATGCCCGCTCAGCGGCCTCCCGCGCGTACTCACACACGTAACCTTGTCGTCCTCGGGGAGGGTTGCAGGGTCTATATTTGTAAATATTTTCACCGGTATAATATTTCTATAAATATTAAAACAAAAAATTTAAAAATGAAAAAAATTCTTGCCGGGGCACCACCCCTCGAAGAGGGCGTGGAGAGATGGCGGTCGTCACGGTCGCCGGCTCGACCTGCTCCGCCTCATCCTCCGCCGCCTCGACACCCGCTCCGCGCTCGCCACCGCCGCGCTCTCCAAGCGCTGGCCGCACCTCTCCCGCCACCTCCCCGCGCTCGACTTCCGGGTCACCGACGTCATCCCGGAGCCGGACCGCTACCACTGGTACCTCCGCCGCCGCCGCACCGCGGGAGATCGCCGCCGGCCGGTCAGGGTCTCCACGCTGAACAAGCTCGACGTCATCATCGGCAGGTACGAGCGCCATGGCATGCGCTCCTTGGCTAACTCTGTGAACAACTTCTTGGACGCGGACGACGACGACGGCGGCAATGGCGAGGCTCACCGGAGGTACCAGCGGGTGAGCCTGGAGGTGTTCCCCACCCACAACTCCGGCCACATGAACCGCCTCATCGCCACGGCCATCGCCGACTGGAGCGTGCAAGACCTCGAGGTCACCATTCTCGACACGACTAGCAACCATGGCAGCATGGGCTACAGCTTCCCCCACCATTGCTTCGACGACGACGCCATGTTCCCGGCGGCGACGGGCTGCAGCCTCAAGACTCTCAAGCTAACCAACTGTGCGCCGCTCGCCGTCGCCGGCGGCGGAGGCGACTTGCAGCACCCGCCGCGCGTGTTCGGCTCGCTGACCGTGCTCGTGCTGCAAGGCATGCCCATGTCGACGCGCTACGAGGGCGTCGTCCGCGCGTGCCCGCGGCTGGAGGTGCTGCACCTCCGGTCATGCAGCTTCCGCGAGAGGAGCCTGTCCATAGACGCGCCCGGCTCTCCGGTGACGGAGCTGCTCATCGACGGCTGAGACGTCGGGGTGGTCTACCTCCGCTCGCTCCCGAGGCTGGAGAGGCTGGCCTGCGTCGGCGGCGAGCCCGTCGAGTTCAGCTTCGGCGCCGTGCCGCGCCTCGCCCGCCTCAGCCTGAGCTTCCACGCCGACGTCAACGCCACGACATGGCTGCTGCACACCTTCGCCGGAATGACGCGAAACGAGTACCCTCTCTTCAACTTCCTCAACCGCCTGCCGGACCTGGACACCCTCGTGCTCCGGTTCACCGGCCCGGAGAGGTGGGTGGCGCCGGCGATGCTCCACGACGACGCGCCGCTGCGCAGGCTGAGGCGGCTGCTCGTCGCCGACATGCCGCCGTCGTGGGACCTCACGTGGACGCGCTACCTGCTGGAGGCGGCGGCCGCCCTCGAGACGCTGCACATCCACGTCGATGTCGCCGCCGGGACGGCGGCGTCGCCGGGTCGGCGCGTCGCCTGGCCGACGGCGGCGGAGTTCAAGCACCGCGCGCTGAGAGAGCTGGTGATCGTCGGCTACAGGCCAAGCGAGTGGCAGCACGAGGAGTTTGTGAGCTTGATGATGAGCACGTGCGTGGCGCTGCGTGACGTGGCGCTGCTCGAGCATGGACACGTCCGAGCCAAGGGACACTGGGATTGGGAGCTGATGACTTGAGCACTCCCACAAATGTGCTGATCTGTTGGATGAAACATCTTTCATCTTTTGGTGTTGTGCTCTTTCCCAGTGGAATGGAAGGAATAATTAAAAAGTACACTGCCCGTCTTTAATGTTGGAGCGATGTGTCATTTAGGTCTATAATTTTAAAAAAAAGATATTAGAGTCCGTGATCTTGTTTAAATAACTCATTGAGGTCCAGAAGACCTCTGACCGGGTTGACTGGCTTACGTGGCCATCTAGGGTGGCAGCATATTTGTATTTTAGCAACGGTGGAGGGCGGAGGGCGTCGAGCTATGGCGGCTGAGCTCTATACCTGAGGCCATGGTGGCGGAGGTTGGATTGGCGACGACTCGGGGTGTAGTGGCGGGCAGCCCGGTACAGCAGCAGCTAAGCTTGGGGATGACACGAGCGAGCTCGCCGGAGGTCACCCTCGTGTTGCTACTTCGCGTCGTCCACGCGCATATAGTCGGGAGATGACGAGGGGATGACAAGCGGTGGCAAACAACACGGAGCAGGAAGCAGCAGCACATCGAGAGCCAGGAAACGACGAGCGGCGGCAGCTTGCAGCTGTAGGGATCTGGCCGCAACTGGGATGGGATACGCCGGTGTGTGCACCGCCGCTTGACGCGGTGACGTAGACATATAAGGGCTCACATGCCATAGACAGTGAGTGACAAATAATTAATTGTTACATATTAGAAGTGGCAAAAAGTTAAATGTCCCACAATGGAAGGAAAGATACATCGTTTTTCACACGCACACTTTCCCAACTACTATATACTGTGTATTTTCTTCAAAAAGATTACACATAAAAGTAGCTTTAAAAATCATATATTAATTTAAAATTTAAAATAATTAATAATCAAGCTCATCTCATTTTATGTATCTCTCTTTTCCTTCTCTCGAACACACCACTGAATGTATGACTGTAACAGCAGCTAATCATGAATTAAAACAGTTGTGCGTGTATGATTGCAATGGAAATGAGACAACACTGTAGTCTATCGTACTGTCGTGTGTTTCATTTACAACGGCTGAAAAATTTCTCACATAGCCACAAACTTTACAGACACCATTAGCAGCTTGAGCTCTCCCTATACCCCCTCTCTGGATGATTATACAGACATGATACAAATTCCTCTCCGATACCATCTTCAAGCAATCACAAAGTTTAAAATATGAACAAAAAAGGGCTTCAATTCTGGAAAACATGTCAATATTTTGCTTGAACCGTGTTACATTGTTAGCGTATCAGGGAGTGAAGTTGGAGCTCCAAGAATCTTGCCACCAACGTCAGGAAAGCATTCGTGTTCTGGCAATGGACCAACCTTACCGTCAGCCTCTACCTTGACTGGGTATTTGAGGAGGTGCCCTTGTAACGTTATAAGTTGTTCTGCGGTGAACCTTCTCCAGTTCTCTTCTGCTATTTCATTGACATAATTTACACACTCCAAACTTGATGGATCCTTGAAGAGGTCATCAACCATCCCAAGATGCTCTGCCCAGAGGGAAGTTCTATACCCGTATACCTGCAAACGATTTGTATGCAGTTCTTTAGGAGGCAGATCTACGACAATAGCTTTGAGTGAGCCTTTGCTGTTGATATAGCTTAAATAAGTTACAGAGAGGCTCAGCAATAACAGAAGTTGGAGAAAGTTAGGATACACAGAATTTATCGATGAGTTCTATAGCATGGTATTAAGTGCAAAGAGGCGGCCATCTTGAGAAGTAAGCCACATATACCTGACCGCGAGGATGACCCCCCTTTGTAGACCATGTGTGGTGAGGCTGGTATGCGCCCATGGCAATTTCAGTATCTCTGGAACCAGCCAAAGATCTTTGGTTGATGTTTGCTGACCCCAGAATAACATATTCATCATCTACAATCATCCCCTTTGCATGAACATAGATCATAAAACGCCGGTATTTTCTAGCCAAGGCCTGTGAATGTAAAGAACAGGGAAATGGAAAATAAGTATGTGTATACATAGTGACTTCTCAAAAGGAAAAAAAAATGGATCTATCCTCGTGACAAGTAGATTATGAGAGAGCAAAAGTAGAGTGAAGTGACAAAAACTCAGTATCATATTGTCAACTAACGGAAAGAAATATCTTGGAATGTGTAAATATATATGACTGGGACAAAAAAAATTACAGCACAAGTTCAGATCATCAAAAGAGCCAGCCAATATGACAGTATAAAAGCAACCTTCCTAACCAATGGATGAGCATTTTTCAAGCAAGTTAAACGAAACCAAGGTTCTTTTTACATGTAAAGAGTAAGAATAAATCTTACTACCCACGCTATGAGTTCGGACGATGAAAAGATACCAACCAGCGAGAAGGTACTGATATTAGCAATGTAATTGAGATAATGTTATCTTAAAAAAGATGATGAAGATTGAAAAAATTACCGCTGCACTTTTATCGTTAGATTCAGGGCTGCCATTTGATGATGATGATTCTTCTCGATTGCCCAGACAATAGAAGTTCAAGTAATCTTGAGGGTGTGCATTCTTAATATTCATGGCCTTGAGCTCTTGTGCAATTATACGATACATCATCTCCATTGTCTGTGCCTGGGAGAGAGCAAAAAAATCATGGGTATGAATGCTCTGCTGCAAAAATCCAATTTCGACCCCCACCAGAATTTTGTTTCCAAAAAAGGCAAAAGGACTTCTCTATAACACCTTGGCGGAATTAACTATTTGGATTTTTATATATGAGAAAAGAATAACTGAACTCAAATTTGAACCAAGGACTCAAAACTGAGTTGTGAAGGCACAGCTCCTCAAAAGGTGGAAGGGCTTGCCTCAAAAGAAGTGAATAAGTATATAGCCGTATAAAAAGGCTAGAAAACAATAACATTAGAAAATATGCCAAGGGGAGTGCAGATAGCAAGAATATTCCTAGTGTTTGGAAACCTGAGACTGAAGTTGCAAGGCAGAAATCATAAAAAGAGAACAGAATTAACGGTTTTCATTAGCTGCTGGATTATGGGCTTCTTGACAGCTATTGGACTCAATTCCACACAGCCAAATTGCAAGCCCTTGACAAGTGGTCCTTATTCCTCAACATGAATGCACAAGTGTGTCCCCTACCCTAGGATTAGCGACTTAGCACACGTGAGGAGAATCCAACCGTAGCCATGTTGGTGCAAAGTGAAATAGCCAGTGAAAGTAGCTATGGCTTATCTGAAAGTAGTTCTGTGAAATTACATACTGTTAAAAATAATAAATAAACTTACCTGAAAGAAAAGAATTTCTTGTACAGAAGCTGCTGTAGGGACTCCTTCAGGCCACATCGGTATGACTACATAAACTGCAAACCGTTCACCAGCCCTAATCTTGCTTGCAATTTTGAGGGCCAATTCAATAGGTACCAGATTGTCAGCACCTGCAAAACACTAAGAGGTCAGTTCCATTTTTATGTAAATCATTAAACACTAATGCTGTAGATCACACAGCAGCACCATCAACAACAACAGGATGGGAAAATAAAAACTCGGCCAACCTAAAAGTGTAACATAAAAAAATGTTTTCCATTCATCTGTTATGACCTTTGTTTTTAGAAGGATATGGAGGAATAGTTGGCCTTATTTATCAGCGGAAGATCGTGTGGGCAACTTGGAGTGTTAAATTACAACTAGCAAGGATTACAGGCAGGATCTAAAAGGCGAAAGCAGCACACCTGAATTAACATAGGACGGCCAAGCATATGATGACCCAAGGAAATATTGATTTTCAATATAAATGAAATGCTGGGCGGATCTGATTGCCCGGACATAAGCAGTGTGGATGCTCTTATCAATTATCAGGTCCTTCCGGCAAATAAGATTCTGCAGAAGTACATGAAACAGTTAAAACATTTACCAGATCACATTTTGGAATGGTGTAAGATGAGAAAGTAAGAATAAAAAAATATAGGACCACTAACGTCATCAAAACTGTAGATTTGTTTAACATTTCAGATTAGGAGATGTATCGGACTAACCTGCTTTGAAGCTTCTTTGCAATCACTAGGAAACCCTTTAAGCGAACCAGAGTCTATTGACCGGAATACCTGAGAAAAATAACATATTTGTATCGCTGCCAAAATTTTCAGAAGTATTTTAGCACAAGCAGAAATTAAAAGAGGAGTGGTAATACCTGAACATGCCAATTTTCAGGATCTTCTTCTTTTGAAACCCGCAAACTAATATCATCATTTGGAATAGTAGGCGAAGGGCTAAGTATCCATGAGATACGTTCCAACTTTATCAGGGCATCATCTTTCCAATGAGACACTTTTCTAAATCGTTCACGCCATTTCGTTGCCTTTCTCCAGCGTTGCTCAAAATTTTTCAAGACATCATACGCAGCTGGACCATCAATCCTACAGTGAAGGTCATGCCATGGTTGTCTAGGCCCCCCCTTTGCACCTGACTGCATCAAGAGAGTATAAAGTATTGAAATGATGACAGTCAGGAAATATTGCACCACGAACCCAGGAGCCTATGTCCTGACTCCATGTTGGTATGGCATGGAGAAGTTATGTAGAACTTATTACTAGCAAAACATAAGTACTCACCGGAAATGTAGGGTTATGATAATCATTATCGAATACTGTGTCAAGATCCTTAAAAAGCCTATGTTCGGGTGTATCATAACGCCCATCACAAAGATCCAGGCCACCGATAAAAGCAGTAATCTTCCGCTTGTTTCCCCAAGCTTGTGTATCAACCAGCACGCATTTTTGATGATGGGTAAACAAAGTCCCAACAACCTGCAAGCTACAAAATTCAAGATCATCAAAATGAGGGAATAAAATTCAATAAATTAAGTTACAGAAGTCCCAACAACCTGCAAACTTTTCTACAAACTTAGGATAATAAAAAATAGAGAATAAAATACATACTAAATTTCAGTGTAAACGTTCACAATATAATAAATAGTGGGCTTATTCAAAACAATAGATGATAGACATATCCTGATTTTGTTTAAACAAGGCTGTCCATCAACTTGGTTGCATCATGTTATATCCAAATGACACCAACCCATAATGAGTTTCTATAGAACATGGAGCTCCTCAAGAAGGGGCAGCACACATAAGCTCGAGAAGGGGCAGCACACATGAGCAAACAATAAACTTCCTTAAGGTTTATGGTGATAACCATTATCTGGAACGTATAAAAGTGCTAACAGTTATCAGCTATATACTATCCAGCCTGGCACTTGCCTGTTGTTTGAAAATGCTCAGCTTACTGCTGGCATACCGAGGTGAAAGAACACAAATGACTGAGGAATGCTTGAAGAATTTTCTAGTTTCTTCATCATGTGTCGCCATCACTCCACCCTGCAAAAGAACAAAAAGGAGGAACTTTTCTCTTAACCAAAAGTAACAGTACGCATGAATTATGATGGGGATGATAAACTGTGCAGCCTGTTCAGTACCTCAGAAAGGAAAACGACAAAGATATGAATTTGCATAAAAATGCATGGTCCCAGTTTATATCCAATCAAAACAGAGGAAAGTCATGCAGACCAAATATTCGGTTACCAGAAAAACCTTTCAAGTCTAGAACATTCAGAATGACACCCTTACTATTTTGTTACTAGGAACACTGAAATTATTAATGACTGAAACCCAACGACCACTGAATAACTAAATTCGTACTATTTATGGAGCGATACCGATGAATTACACGCAATTACATCAACATTAAATGCCTATGAAGCATCCCGAAGTCCCCCCCGCCACCGCCCCCCCCCCCCCCCAAAAAAAAAAAAAACTAAGCATGAGTAGTTAAATTAAGCACAAAAACAAAACTAGATTGTGTGCAATTCCTCACCGTTTTGATGAACAACTTGTCGTGCGACGTCTTGTCGTCCCACACGAGCAGGCACACCCTCACGCCCTCCTGCGACTTGAACTTGAGCAGCTCCCCGAGATTGAGGTCGCCGCCTTCCGGCAGCGGCCTCGACGGCGACGGCTCCCGGACGAGGCGCACCTTGTCGTACACCGACCAGCCGACGATGTATATCATGTGGTGCGCCTCGAGGATGGCGTGGCAGATGTCCTCCCAGCACGCGTTGTGGTCGAACACCTTGCCCCCCTCGTCGAGCTCGATCTCCGGCAGGTCCCCTTCCCTGTAGTGGGCGTCCTGGTACAGCGTGACGCGGCCGCCGTGGCGGAGCGGGAAGTAGGAGTCCTTGATCCCCTGGTGGTCGGGGTCGCCGGGGATGCCGCGGCGGTAGAGCGGGTTGTCGGCCGCGGGGTTGAAGCGGAGGCGGAGGCGGAGCGCCGTGTCGGGCTTGTACGGCCTGCCGTTGTTGCCGATGATGGGGAACCAGTCCTCCACCTCCTGGCACGAGGCGACCCTGTCGGCGGGGATGGTGACGGTGCCGATGAGCTGCGCGCCGAACGTGTCGTTGTCCTTGACGTGGAACTCGAGCGCGGCGGCGTAGTGGGCGAGGGGCACGGCGAAGCGCTCGTCCCAGACGGGGTCCTGGTCGTTGGGGATGACGCGGGTGCGCGCCACCACGGCGCCGGCGACGGAGAGCGTGACGTAGGGGTCGCTGGTGATGATCTTCCGGCGGTGGTGGCCGCGGGCGTGGCGCGGCTGCCTGGCGGTGGCGCAGGAGGTGGGCGGCTTGCAGGCGGCGAAGCACCGCCGTACGTGCTCGGAGAACATGTCCATGTTTGGGAGCAGGCGCGCCTCGACCACCCACAGGTCGAGGTCCCCGTGGAGCAGCACGGGCTTCGCCGGAGGCGGAGACTCGCCGCCGCCGCCGCCGGCCGACGACTCCATCGGCGGCGACGAGGCCTCCCTCCCTCCCTCGGCACGCACACGCACACAGCAGCGGGACCCACCACCCACCGAATCCGGGAGACCACCGTCTCACCTCTTTATACCCCCCGCTCTCTGCGGCGCGGATTCCGGCGGCGAAACGCGCGGTGGGAGAGGGAGATCTCGGGCGGACGGCCGCGCTGGATTACGCCCAAAAATAGTCTCTCTCTCTCGCCGCGCCGCTATATCTAATTCTGCGAGGGGTTAATCGTAAAAGAGATCGCGAAGCGGTGAGCGTGATGGTGGTGGGACGTAACGGTCGCCTGTATGGCTCCCGGCCACTCGGTCGCTGGCACGCGGGGCCCAGCACGACCACGCGGCTGAGCTGGGGGCGCGACGCGATCCGATCGGAAAACGCATGAACAGATCGGTCGTCGTGGTGGCCGGTGGCGTGGCGTGGCGCGCGGCGGGGGTCAAACGAGGCGGGAGGCGGCTTGCGGCGAGGTGAGGGTGAGGTGGCTTGCGACGGGAGAGGTGTCCGTTTCCGCACCAAAGCCAACTTCTCTCCTGCGATTCTGCGTGCGTGCGGGAGCGCAGTTGGCGCCGTGTTTAGTTTCAAATTTATTCTTTAAATTTCTAATTTTTTCATCACATAAAAACTTTTATACACACAAACTTCTAACTTTTCCATCACATCGTTCCAATTTTAATCAAACTTTTAATTGTGATGTGATCTAAACACAGCCTGAGAGGGGAAAAAAGGGGAAAAGGTGGGTGACGTCGTCTTCCTCCAACCGCCAACGGCGAGCTGCAACTGGAGAGGAGAGGAGAGGTGGGTAGGTTTAACGTGCGGCGCCAGATTTGTCCGGGCGGTTTCGACGGTTTCATTGCCCCCGGCTCGGCCGGCCGGAGAAATTACTTCTACTTCTACATGAAACTGCTGCTATAGGTAACACATATTGGATTCTTGATCTGGAATTAGCAAGTGGGCTTCCTTTTTGTGCAAGCGGACCAAAGTGATGCTCAGTCACGAGCTGATGGTGGTGGTACTTCTCTCTCTCTCTCTCTGGTTGGGGTCACCTGAAAGCGATGCTGAACCTAACCATCATAAAATGTCTCGCCTTGGGACGAATGCTGCTAATGGTGTGTTTAGTTCTCTGGACGTAAGGTTTTTAAAATATATGGATACACATTTAAAGTATTAAACGTAGACTAATAATAAAATAAATTGCATATTCCACCTGTAAACTGCGAGACGAATTTATTAAGCCTAATTAATTTATCATTAGCAAATGTTTACTGTAGCATCACATTGTCAAATCATGGCGAAATTAGGCTCAAAAGATTCGTCTCACAATTTACATGCAAACTGTGAAATTGATTTTTTCTTATATTTAATGTCCCATGCATATATGTGTCCAAATATTTAATACGACGTTTTTGACCAAAAATTTTTAATCTAAACAAGGCCTAACACAGTACTCGCAGCAAATGAAGCATGTCCTGTCCTACACGCTAGTACAAGCCCGGACACCCTGTCAGGATCGAAGCTGAACCGAACCGCCCCAGAGATCACATGAGCACGTACTCCACTACTTGAAGCAGCCGTACTATACCTCCAGCTAATGCGATTCCGTCAACATGTAGGAACGTACTAATCATCGCCAAAATTACTAAACGCTTGGACGGCAGCGAGACACGATCCGCTCTCGCGGCCACCAATTCAGCGAGGACGACGATCTCTCGCACACAGCTTTGCATTGCATTGCTGTAATGCTGTGCCATCGTGCGATTACCAGCGTCGTTAGGCTCACGACTTCATTCCATTAATTGATTACATATTCTGATGTGGCCCGTCACTAAGCATATAATTATTGGGTTCTTTGTTCTCCCTTTCGCTTCACGCCGCTGCTTCCTGCTCAAGTGCTCATGTCGATCTCCCCTTACACATTAGACAGATTAATCAAGAATTTAAGATGCAACTTTCATTGCTACTCGAACGGTTTCCTGCCCACAAAAACTTTAGCTTAGCTGTGTCATATCATATGTGTGTGAATCAAGAATGGATAATAGATTGCTCACGCACGTCAGAGTTTCGGTTTCCTTTGACTGACAATATCAGCTTAGTACCTGTGTTGATTAACAGCTTGAGCAGGAGAATTTCGCTACTACTCCTCCTATAAAGTCCTATCTCGATCTCTTGCCCCTCTGTACAACAGGACAAACCATGTGGAGGCCGTGAAGAACGGGGAGGTTCCATGTGTCACACCGTCATGCACCAGAGGAGGTTCCGGATCAGCTTTACTTTAATTAGTTGTAGCATCTATCCCGATTTCTTTAATGATCTGATTCAATGTTGGTAGGTTAAGATCTGATTCCAGAGATATACCACTTCAGCTTTATTCAGTCACAGGCCTGCTAGTACTCCCTCTGTTTCAAAATAAGTGCAGCTATAATTTTCCGCGTCCAACTTTAACTGTTCATCTTATTTAAATTTTATTTTTAAAAAAATTAAAAACATAAGTCACGAGTAAAGTACTATTCATGTTTTATCATCTCATAACAACAAAAATACTAATTATAAAAAATTTTTAAATAAGACGGACGATCAAAATTGAACGCGAAAATTTATGGCTGCACTTATTTTGGGATGGAAGTAGTATTTTACAGAGCGAGAGCTCGCTGCAGACGCCGGCGTCTGGTGATTATTTTACATAATCAAGATAGCAGCTGGACATTTTCGTTTCATCAACTTGGGTAGCATGCACTAGTGGCAACAGAATGGATTTACATCGAGACAGCACGAGTGTGCAGATAGATCCAGATTAGCACGACAGACACGAGCTGAATCAGCTGAACGATACACTGGGTGTGGGTTTCGGTGACTGAAGAATTTGTCATTAGTGGTCTTCCAGAAAGTGCAGAGGAAGAGCCGTGAGCACCGTGTCTTTCTGAAAAAATAGTGTCGTTCAAGGAGTGGTACGTATGGACGTACTCCCTCGTTAAAATAAATTAAAAAACTAGTATATTATGTTTCCTAGTTCAATAAATCTAGGTATACTCTCACAAAAACACCAATCTAATATTAGACAGGATGTTTCATAGTCTATATTGGAAAAAAAAAGGAAAACAAAGTTGATTCACTACTAAGTTGGACTAGGAAACATCTCATCCAATACTAAATTGGTTATTTTTGGGACTGAGCGAGTACCTACACCTCCGTAAACATGTTGAATTGTTGAGCACCGAATTACTACCATCAACTGGTCCTATTCGATTAATATCAATACATGCATATTTGTGTCTGAAAAAGCTCAAACTCTGTACCGCAACGTTTATTTAATGTTCATGTCAGATAAAAAGAGGTCAACTGTCCACAGTTGGAAGCCCTAAATTTCGCATTGACAGAGGTCAATTTTTTAAGATAATCGAAAGAATTTAATTAATAAGTAAATCAAATTACACCTGCTCTATGCTTTCATCAGGATGCAAACAACAAAAAAGAGGGGAACTTTTATAAAAAAAACAAAAAAGAGGGGAAAAACCCTCAAGACAGATAAGAACAAATCACATTGTCTTGCTTGCAACATCTCAGTCACCGAACAGACTCTATATGAACATAATATGAAGCCAGAACTAAAATTAGAAGTGTTTGAGTTTCAAAAAATGGAAAAAAAAACTCATTATCGATGTCGCCGTCACAGTCGCTTTTCGGGCCCACCACCAGTCCAAAAGTTGCACCCCTATCCGCAACATAGGCCTTCGCTTTCCGCTCGCTAGTTCCGATGTTCTAGATGGGCTTCGGCCCGCGGTTTCCCCGCTTTCTTTTCCGAACATCACTGGCCCACGTTTGTATCTTTCCCCATTTCCGCGTGATATTTGATTCGATTTTTTTATTGTTCATTTTTTTTCTTGTGTGTGTGACACGCAAGCAACGGGTTAAATGTGCTGACAAATTAAGACAAGGACAATTCAACCCTTCCCTTTTTGTCTTCATGTCTTGGCACGAGACATCGATCTGCATGCCTCCAAAAGTCATACTCCCTCCGTTTAAATTATTTGTTGTTTTTAAGTCCAACATATCTATTTTATATCATAATTTTTGTAAAAAAAAGTTGTTTAGATTAGCAATATGTGAATTATAAATTATGAAAGTATTTTCCATAGTGAATCAACAAATATAAATCTTATGATATTAAGTTATGATCTTATAGAAATTGATAGTCAGATATTAAAAATGTTTTAATTTAAGATAACCTAGGATGACAGTTAATTTGAAATGGAGAGGGTACGCAATGACCTAGGACAACAACAGGTAATTTGAAATGGAGACGGTACGCAAAATGACATCAGCAATTTAATTACAGACATGGAGATGAATTGTATGAAACGAACAAGTGCTAGCTGATGATGCTGTCGCGCATAAAAAGATGACGAAAAACTTGGTGTAATCATGCATATTAGTACTAGCTTGCTTCTTTGGAACGCTAAAAAGATATATAGCCGCATATTCAGGTCCATGAATCACGTACCGCATTCGCGAAGCTCGGAGAAATTCGGCGTCTACTCCGATAATTCGATCCGAATTTTTTCAGACCACTTGATGAGCAATTCACTCTTGTACGGAGCTTTTTAAAATTAAGTCCTGCACCACTTAATTAACCATTGAAAAATCATCATTCGGACATTTATTAATGGTTGGCTTGGCTCTTGTCAGCACTGGCTGGCTTGTGCTGACCGAACTTATTTTTCACAAGTCGTAACTGCACGCTCGATGGAGGCCGGATTTTCAGAGAAAATGTGCGGAGAAATTAAGCAGAACATTAATTAGAAAAGTTGAACTCGTGACAATTCCAGGCACTAATAAGTCAAAATCCTGTAGCTTCCGTTTTCGGACTCAATCCAACAATTATGAATTCTGAGTTGTCAAGCATATTCCAAGACTCATCTTACACGAAATCCATTCATATACTTATCAAAACAACAAGTTGTTTTCATCTAACAACCTTTTTTTAATTATTTTGTTCTCTTTCGTTGTATCTTCTTTTCTAAACAAAAGCATCACATCTAAAATTTAAGGAGAAGAAAAAACAACTATCGATGTACTTTTGATCAGTTTCGTGTGAAGTATATGACTGTACAAATTACTCCAAGAACAAAAAAAAATCAAAAAATTACATTGGAATGGGAATACGCTCGCATTTGGGCCTAGAAATGGACGAACAGATCGATGAACACGCATGCAAAAGCTCATGCACGCTGACGTCATCTATGGAAGTCGAAGCGGAGTGGGAGGAGCCATGGGTCGCCGGCTCCAGAGGTTCACCTCCTTCCTCGGCTCCGACGCCACCAGGCCGCCGCCGAGCACGAGCGGCGCCGAGTGCGCGACGAGCACGTCGTCGTCGTCGTCACTCGCCATCCTCTCCGCCTCCCTCCAGTCGAAGTCCTCGAACGCCGCGCGGCCGCTGGTGAACCGCTTCATCTGCCCGAGCCCCGCCGGTGCCGGCGCCGCAGCCACGGCGGCGCCGGCGCGCCCGGCCGTCCTCCCCTTGAAGAAGCCGCCGTCCCTCGACGACGACGATGACGCCTTCCGCGACCTGCTGCGGCGGAAGAGCATCCTCCTGACGAGCGAGCTCTTCTGCCTACGCGCGGCGGCGGCGTCGGCCGGCGGCCGGGGCGGGAGCGGGCACGCGCCGTTCTTGCAGCTCGCCTTGACCTTCTTGGCGTTGGCCTTCTTGATCTGGCCGATGCAGGAGACCTTGGGCGACGACGGCTCGGGCGTCCGGTACCCGGAGCGGTGCTCCCGGCGGCTGCCGCCGCCGCCGCCGCGCGCCTCCGGCGGGACGATGGAGACGATGGGCCCCGAGAAGGCGTTGCGGTGGTTGAACGACGACCTGCCGTGCGGCGGCGGCGGCGCGGAGGCCGTGGTGGTGGTCGCCGTGAAGGATGCCGCCGTGCTCTTGAGGAAGGAGACGATGGCGCCGCCGCTGAAGCTCCTGGACCTCGCGTGCCTGTGCTTCTTCTCCATTGGCATGATGTGTGCGTGCGTACGGATTGTGTCTTTGGTTCTCTTGTCGTGTGCAGATCGATGTAGCTTTAGGCGGCTTTAGTTTGGGTTATATACCACAGGCAGAGGGGCATGAGATGATTATGTTTAGGGTTGGTGAATGAATGCGATTATACGAGTAGATTGTGATGGGATGGCTAGCTGCCGCGACTAATAATAACAACTCGCGTGCGTTGTCGTGTGTTCGCGTGTGCGTGCGTGGTCAAAGCGAGGAGCGGGTATTGAATTCACGGCGAAACACAGCTATCAATCAACCAACCAGCGCGCGCGCGGGCGCGAGGCAGGCGGTGACAGCGAGCAGTGGTGTGGTGGGGGGTTGGGCGTGCGTTGGGTTTTTCCTGGGCGGGACGCGGTCTCTGCACCGGTCGATCCGACGCGGCGTACGTTCGGTTGAACGGGCCGTTTGCTTGCGTTTGGAAATGAAACGCGAGACCTGGTTGCTGCATGCGCGACGAGACTTTGGACTGGTTAGCCGCAGCGGCCGCGCACCGCGGCTGTGGATTGGATGCGACCTGCGGCCACGGTTGGTGCGCGCGCAAGAGAGTTTCCTCGTCGCGTCAAACGTACGCGCGGGCGCAGGTGCGGGTGCAGGGCCGCGGAGTTTCCGGCGGTGGCCGTGACCACGGCCGATCGACGACTTGGTTGGCGTACGTGCTGCAATGCAAGTGATCCGTATGCGACGGCCTGACGGACGGTGTCGGTGGCGTCGTCGACGCGTGGGGATCGATTGTGTTCTCTCGTTTGCGGAGGGCAATACGATTTTTTAATTCACCGGGAAAACGATGAAAACGTTTTTCATTTTTCTTGGGTTTGACTGACTGAGACACAGTCACACGTATTAAAATACCCCGCGGGCCCCATTGTGCTGGATTAGTCCAGCGAACATATATATGTTTCGTATAAAAAAGAACCAGTGGTCGTTCTATGTAAATCCTATAGTACACCCGTCCAGTTTGAATACTACTCGCTAGCGTACGTCCACCCACAAGTATATGTATGGAACTCTGAATTTTCTGTATGGCATACGTAATAAAAATTGACTCTACCTGTTGAAAAAATGCAATGTGTGATTTGACTTCATGATTCATCAATCCTAGAATTAGTAAACTTTACCAGTTCCTTCTTTTTAAAAGAAAAAAAATCAATATGATTAGTAGTAACTGAGAGAATCAGCTTGAAAGTAATGCTGCGTATGAATGTTCGCTGGGTTGTTTTCTCCTGCAGAACGACATCTTAGTTACTACGTACTTCCTCTATCTTAAAAAAAGACAACATACGTACTCTCTTCTAAGTTGTCTTTTTTTTTTGGAACGAAGAGAGTATTTCAATAGGCAATAAAGCAAGTATTTTTTTTAAAAAAAAAACTTTACCGATGAGAGCATGCATGCCTCTGAAAAAGATCTACAGATTAATCAAGGATGTGATGCTCACTGTGAAGCAAATCAGGGAAGAATGCGTCCATTCCCATGGTGAGAAAAGGCTAGCGGCTGTGCTATGGATAACGTGAAAATATGAATAAAACAACTGGCAAGAATTTTAAATAAACTTTCATATACAGAGATGTTCTGCAGTGCTACTTGGCAACCAACAGCTACAATAGAAAAAAAGAGAATGTATGGTGGCAACTGTGGCTGCCAAAGCCGCGGTGTAGCACCTCCTATGCTTGCATAGTGTATCATTCACTTATGGTTTAAAGGTCAACTACGAAAAATAGACAACGTTGAAAAGTACGTACTAGTAATAAAATCAATTCTATATCTAAAATTGAAGTTTTGAAATTTAAATTTTGACCGAGATGAGATTGATAAACTACCCAAGTTAGCAAAGTATGAAAGTCTAAAAGAAATTGCACGCGATATGCTATTGTTATTCAAGATTGGATGAAGGATGACACCTCGACGTAGATATGATGGTGCATAGATGCGTCATTTTGTCGTCATAAATTGTGTGCGCGACACCATTGTTCTCCGAGATTCTCAAGGTCCCTTGTAAATTGATTTGTATATGGCCATTTCCAACCCAAAACACTAGACATAGTTTTCATAAACTTCACATCATCAAGAAATTAATACTATACACTACTCTTTCAATGCAAACACCATTTTTTCATACTTAAATTTAATGCTACTTATCACATGATGTCTTGGATGTTGTGTAGAAATCATGTCTCACGCAAGATCTGGTGTCCTTCTCTTTTCTCATTTATTCACTTGTCACATCACATCATCTTTCATTCATGTAACAACTTATTTAATATTATGGACATTATCCTAATCATTGGGTTAGGAATGGCCTACTACACCTCACGTAGGTTCCAAAAAGCTTGGATGAACGAATTGACCGTCGTCCTGCAGCGGTTAATGACTCGTAATCTCGTTCATTAGCTCTTGACAACAACAGATATGGTGCAGTGGGCGCCCATGCCGTCACGATAAGGTCGTCCACGTCAACTCTCACGCCACGTGGCCACCAATCCAGCCATGAATTGGATCCACGCCACGTGCATTCGTGCAGCCAAGCCCATTTTCCGATCGAATCCAACGTGAAAGCCCAAACTAGTGATTATGTGGGCCTAAGAAAGAAAAGCCCATTACATTTACAAGATAAATAGGCCGAAAATATACTGGGCCGCGTATTCCCACAAAAGCCTGGGCCCAAGCGAACTTCTCAACCAAAACCCTACTACTATACTCCACTCCGGCGGCGGCAAACCGAGCACCCCCACCCACCTCCGCGTCGCGCGCCATGGCTCTCCTCCTCAAGCCCAAGCGCCACCTCTTCCCCTCCTCCGCTCGCCACCTCCGACGTCTATGCGACGCCGCGCCAACCCTGGCGCCGCCGCCGGAGCCGGAGCCAGAGCCGGAGCTGGAGCCGGAGCCCGCGTTGGCTCCGTCGCTGACCACCGCGGAAACCAAGCTCTTGGACGCGCTCCACGCGGCCCTCGTCGACCACCGCCGCGCCCACCCGGCCGCGCCGGTGCCCGCCACCGCGCCCTCCGAGCCGCCGCTGCCGGAGCTCTCCTCCGCGCTCTCCGGCCTGCTCGCTTCCCCTCCTTCCCCGCAGCTCCCGCTCGGCCTCCTCCGCCGCCTCCTCGCGCTCCGCCGCGGCGTCCCACTCCCCGAGGCGGTGGCGTTCTTCCACCACGTCCTCCCGTCGCTTCCGCCCGACTCGCTCCCCGCCTTGTACGCCGCCATGATAGACCTGCTCGCCAAGCACCACCACTTTCCCCTCGCCCGCCACCTGCTCGACGAAATGCGCGAGCGCTCCGTCCCCATCTCGGCGCAGCTCATCCTCGCCCTGATCCGGAGGTACGTCCGCGCGGAGATGCCGTCGGAGGCTTCCGACCTCTTCCGCCGCATGGAGGAGTATGGCGCCGGGGCTCCCGACCCGGCCACGCTTGCTTCTCTTCTTGGGGCGCTCTCCAAGAAGCGCCTTGCCAGTGAGGCCCAGGCTATGTTTGACAGTTACAAGTCCGTCTTTACGCCGGATGTTGTGCTTTACACAACGCTGGTGCACGCGTGGTGCCGTTCTGGGCGGCTCAATGAGGCCGAGCGGGTGTTCGCTGAAATGCAGCAAGCTGGGGTCACACCAAATGTGTATACATACACAGCGGTGATTGATGCAATGTACCGTGCAGGGCAGGTGCCCCGTGCTCAGGAGCTCCTGTGCCAGATGATCGACTCTGGGTGCCCGCCGAACACAGCGACGTTCAATGCCATCATGAGGGCGCATGTCAAGGCTGGGCGATCCGAGCAGGTTCTGCAGGTGCACAACCAGATGCGGCAGCTCGGCTGTGAGCCCGACATTATCACATACAATTTCTTGATGGAGACACATTGTGGGAAGGGGCAGAGTAACCTTGATGCTGCGATGAAAATGCTCACAAGGATGATTGCCAAGGGTTGCATTCCTGATTGCCACACATTTAACCCCATGCTGAAACTGGTGCTTGTGCTTGGCAATGTAAATGCTGCCCGGAAATTGTATGAGCGGATGCAGGAGCTGCAGTGCAAGCCAAATGTCGTCACATATAATTTGCTTATGAGATTGTTCAATTTGGAGAAGTCAATGGACATGGTGCTGAGGATAAAGAAGGACATGGATGCACAGGGAGTGGAGCCAAATGTGAATACTTACGCTGCTCTAATAGAGGCCTTCTGTGGAAGGGGAAACTGGAAACGTGCACACATGACGCTGAGGGAAATGGTTGAGGAGAAAGCCCTTAAACCCACAAAGCCAGTCTATGATATGGTATTGGCCCTGTTGAGGAAGGCTGGTCAGCTCAGGAGGCATGAAGAGCTTGTGGAGATGATGGTGGACCGGGGTTTCATCAGCCGCCCAGCTAATGATGCATTGTGGAGGGCAATATCTGCTTGATGATCTTTATGTTTATTATGTTATTGGTGTGCAATCTCATAAAAAAGGTATTACATTGTGATCTGTACCCTACCTCATTGAGGAATAATGATGCTTCCTGGGTAAAATGATGAGGTTGCCGAACTGAAATTTTTCAGAATGCCTGTTCTTTGGCTAGTGTGGTTATAGTCCTTATGGAGTGGGTTGCGTGTGGATGTTGGGGGTAGAGACTATACATAGTTGTGAAAGGAAGAAACATTTTGGTTTTTTGTTCAGAACTTGTGACAAAAGTTGATCTGGTAATCTGTGGCTTGCATTTCTGATCGTGCAGATTCTGATAATCAACTATTTCAATCACTCAACTATATATGTTGACTGTGATCTGGAAAGTAGTACGTACGACACTTATTTGGTGAAGGAAGCGTACCTTGTACTATGCAAATTATTTGAACTTTACAGGAAGAATTAATGTTAGGATGGTTCGATCTTTAGCAGTTGGTATTATGTGGCTTCATGGTTTGCATTAATTAACAAACGTGCTGACTTAATATCCAGATAACAGCAGTCCTTGCAATTTGAACTGCTGTAGAATGTAGGCAAATCCTATGTCGTACGACTACAACTTAACCGTGTGTACTATCTTCGATCTTATGGAAATTATATTCCTTCTAGAAATATTAGTCTTGCTCTAGCTTGAGAAGTTTGTGTTTTCTCTGAATTCTATCTTTATGAGCTTACCAAATTCACCGTGCAGAACCAGTTGTCTTTATAGTATAGTGGATTCTGTTTGAGCTATGCTCTCACTTGCATGATTAACTAGGTGCAACATGTCTCTCAGTTTTTCTTGCAGGGAGTTTGCATCTGGAATATCTGCAAAATGTCGGCTGATAGAATCAAACAGCAGGGGTCAGCCTTGTCTCATGGGTGATCACAGGATGGCCTCCCTGTTTCTGCTGTTGTTTCCATGGACTGTTGAGATATGATTGAGATAATCTACGCGGCTCCAAATCTCATTTCCAATGCTTATCTGGCACATCAAATGATCTCCTCTATTGTATTTGTGTAAGTACCCAGGTACAAAAGGCAAGCAAATATAAAACAAACTATTATGATCTGTACATGGGCCATGAGCCCATGAGTAATCTATAGGACAAAATCAAAGGTCAGTAAGCACCGCACAAGTACTTTTTGCAGCTTAATATATGTTAATTATGCTTCAACAACATCACCTTTTTCTGAAACTGCATGCTTGGCACTATCTTACACTTTCCTTTAATCAGGTTCTTTATTTCTTTTCAGGTAATGCAAGATTCACTTTTGTGGTGTTGGCATGCATGCATGGCTCACCGAATGGCCGGTGCGTCTTGTTAGGCCGGTTCATGCAACTGCATTTTTTGCACTGGTACACCGCTCTGACTCGATTCGCCTATCAATTCCAAGCCTAAGCTTCCTAGCTTGCAAGCAATCACATGGCAGTAGGGCATCTTTTCTCGCTTGGAATCATCTACCGGGGAACTGTCAGGCATGAGGCACAACCGGACACAGGGATATGCCTCTCCAAGAAATGAAATAGGAGCAAATTGGTCAGAATCTTGTTTGAGCCTGTGGGCTAAGGTCTACATGTGAACCTTTTTCCTTCGCCGTGTGAGGGACTCCAGCTTCTTCCCAGATCCCACTGCCTGGTTGGTTTGTGTTAGTAGTATGTTACTCTCTGCAATTAGATTAATTAACCTGTGACTGTGAGCCTGTTGGAGCAAGCAATCATCTTTTATGTTTGCCACCACCTCATCTCCTCTTTTTCTTTTGTTTATTTAATTTAATCTGATGCATGGATGTAGCATTGTACTATTGTACCTGCCTACCTGGTTTGTCCCAATGATGGCATTTGCGCTTGCCAATCTACTGTTTGCTTCTGCAAATTAACCCATGTTCATATGACCGCAGCCTGTAGGCTTAAGCTGTCAGTCAACTTGCTCAACACTGGAAATGCATGCAAAAATTTGCTCTCCAGCTTACCATTTACCAACGAGACGTAGCTAAAATTTAAATTAAAATTTTATAGTTGATTTTAATGTTTTTCCTTCATACTTTATTTTTTAGCTTGGGCTTTTAAGTCATCAAGATAATGTGTATAAAAAAGTTTTATCTACAAATTATCTTTTTTATGACGGTTTATAATCAGCTGTAGGGCATCGATTGCTTGGTTGTTTTAGCTTCTTCTCAGCATTCACCTGTGAACCAACGAAGCAATCAAAGGGACCACATCACCACATGCGCACAGCGCACAGTAACCAAGAGCAGCATGTATCGATCCGGCTAAATCCAAGTGGATTTTTCTCTCTGAATTTCCTGACCACCTGCTTCCTCATAAAAATATACCAACAAATATATAAGGCATTCTAATATTACAAATCTAAATATTTTTTTTGTTTGGATACATTATATCTTGTATTCCATCCGTTCTATTTTAGACGCAGCTATAAATTTTCGTATTCAAATTTAATCGTTTGTCTTATTTAATTTTTTTATGATTAATATTTTTATTGCTGTTAGATGATAAAATATGAATAATACTTTATTTGTAACTTATGTTTTTTAATGTTTTTTTAAAAAAATTAAATAAGACAGACGATTAAAATTGGACATGAAGGGCTTGTTCACTTTGATACTATTTTCAACCATACCTTTTTTTTTTAAAGTTGCCAAAATAATGTCTACGTTTAGTTTGTTGCTAAATTTGGTCAATACATAAAAAATTCTACTAAAATTTTGGTAATATTGCCATCTTGCCAAAATTTTAGCATTGCCAAAACTTAGGAAGTTTTATTTTGGCTAAAAACTTATGACTACCTTTGTTTTTTTATGGGATCAGGGAGTACGAGTTTACCCCGGCCTGAATCCTGATGACCTGACCTGACGCTGAGCATGAGCAGTAGTGAGTGAGGCAGTGAGCCTCACCACCAAGACGAAGAAGATCTCCTCCGTTGCTTTCGAGGATGAACGGGTCCCATGCGCTACCCTCCAAACCCCCCTCCCTCCACTCCACATTGTTTCTCTCTCCCGCCCTATATCAACCCACGCTGCTTCCAAAACTAGGGCGATGCACCTCAGCTCGGCGTTCGTCTCCAAGCTCTCGCAACCAAACCGCCGCCATTTTTGGCCGCTTCTATACCAGCTTCCTTGCTTAATTTGCTTGCCCTCCCGTGACAACAACCTCGTCGTCTCCCCTCCCTGAGCTGTCTTGGGTAATTCGATCGATGGGCGCCGCCGCGGCGGAGGAGGCGGTGGTGGTGGTGAGGGGGGCGCCGCCGCCGCCGTCGTCGGGGAAGAGGAGGTCCACCACGCTGCTGCACCTCTTCCAGCTCGAGAAGCCCGACGTCGTCGTTGGTGCGATGCTGCTCCCGCCGCCGTCGCCGGAGCCCGAGGAGGATCGTCTGATCACCAAGATCGAGTCGTGCAGCCGGGTCTTCACGTTCGTCGATGGTGGCGGCGCCGCAGGGGGGGAGTCCGGCGAGGAGAGGGACGCGAAGACGGAGGCGCTCGGTGAGGTGCTCGCCGCGGTGAGGGCGAGCGGGAAGAGGAAGCAGGGGCTGGACCACCGGGTGATGGTGGCGCTGGTCAAGATGGTCGCCGCCAACCTGTTCCGGGCGATGCCGCCGTCCGCCTACCCGTCGTCGCTCCCGCCGCCGTCCGACGTGCTCGACGACGAGGTCCCCGTGATGGTGCTGCTCCCGTCGTGGCCGCACCTCCACCTCGTCTACGACGTCCTCACCGCCGCCGTCGCCGCGGCGGACGCCAGGGCGCTCCGCAACCACGTCGACCGGAGCTTCCTCGCCGGCCTAGTCACCCTCTTCGCCTCCGAGGACCCGCGTGAGCGCGACCGCCTCAAGACCGCCTACCACCTGCTCTACTCCAAGCTCACCGGCGAGCGCGCGTTCATGCGGCGCACCATGGCCGCCGCGCTGCTCCGGTTCGTCTACGACGCGTCCCCGGCGGAGGCCGAGCGCCACTGCGGCGTCGGCGAGCTGCTCGAGGTCTGCGGCAGCATCATCAACGGCTTCGCCGTGCCGCTCAAGGAGGAGCACCGGGCGTTCATGGCGCGCGTGCTGCTGCCGCTGCACCGGACGCGGTGGGTGCACACGTACCACCGCCAGCTCGCCTACTGCGTGCTCCAGTTCGTCCACAAGGACCCCGGCCTCGCCGGCGCCGCCGTCAGGGACATCCTCCGCCACTGGCCGGCGACCAACTGCCAGAAGGAGGTGCTGCTCATCGACGAGCTCGAGGAGATCGTCGAGATCCTCGACCAGCACCACTTCGACAAGCTCGTCGTCCCCGTCTGCTCCCGGATCGCCCGCTGCGTCAGCAGCTGCAGCTCACAGGTTTGTGTTCTTGCTCCATTTTCACCATCGATTTTAACTACATTTTCACATTTCAATTATTACTGCTTGCTTCCAACATGCATAATTACCTCTTGCTTCCAACATTTTCTTGTACATTTTACATGTTAGGATCAATCAGCACAATTTTGTGGAATTCAGTTTCAGAAATCTAAACTTTGAGCAGTTGAAATTGAAAATTAATCTGAAAAATGGGTTTCAGAATATACGCTGTTAAGCAAAATTTCAGTGAACTTTTGAGCAGATTCATCTCAGTGATCCATTCTGCCCCCCATGCTGTTAGTGTGGTACATGTGGGGAAAAAAGTTCGGTGTGATTGAAAGTTTCGATAAAAAGCGGCTTTATAAAGCGTCGTCACTTTAATCTGTCCACTCCACGTACAGCGTTCGTGTAATTCAGTTTCAAAAATAAACTCCATTTTTACGCAATCCAATCCATCTTCAAAATCCCAACCCATTCAATTTCTGAATATCCATTATATTCTGAGTACTGAACACTGATGATGCTCTGCTCTGCATCTGAATATACTAGTAGCTGTAGCAAACTGATCTAAAGCTTCTGCATCTGAATATACCTGTAACAAACTGATGATCCAAAGTTTTCGGTAATAAAGAGGGATATGATTCCGATTGCACTTTTCTTGTCGTGTAATCCAGCCTTTGTTGATATCATCAGTACTAGTAATAGTAGCATTAGTTGTTGCCATAGTGGTTGCTGTGTGTAGTTTACTTCAAACTTCTAACTTTTATGTCGCATTAAATGTTTGGATATATACATAGAGCATTAAATGTGGATGAAAAAAAACCAATTGCACAGTTTATATGCAAATTGCGAGACGAATCTTTTGAGACTAATTACGCCATGATTTGGCATTGTGGTGCTACAGTAAATATTTACTAATGATGGATTAATTAGGCTTAATAGATTCGTCTCATAGTTTACAGGCGGAATTTATAATTTATTTTGTTATTAGTCTACGTTTAATTCTACAAATGTGTGTCCGTATGTGTAAAAAAAAAATTTCGCCAAAACAACTAAACACGGCCTAACTCACACTCACTTTAGCAGGTTGGAAAAATAATCAAATCTTGGACCAGCAGTTGCGGTGTTAATTTCGGTGTGCTGCGTGTGATTTTGCAGGTGGCGGAGAGGGCGCTGTACGTGTGGAACAACGAGCGGTTCGTGGCGATGGCGTGCGCGGCGGGGCCGGCGGCGATGGAGGAGCGGATCCTGCCGGCGTTCGTGGCGAGCATGGAGGCTAACCTGGAGCGGCACTGGAGCAGGTGCGTGCAGCAGGTGACGGCCAGCGTGCGTGCGCTGCTTGACCGGGTGGCGCCGGGGGCCTACGCCCGCTGCGCCGCCGGCCTCGCCGCGCGCCTGGCCGAGGCCGACGCCGACGCCGCCGCGCGCCGCGCACGGTGGCGCCGCCTGGAGCTCGCCGCCGACGCCGGCGCCGATGCCAAGTAGCGTAGCAGTAGTAGTACGCTTTGTACATGCCAAAACAAGCAAGCAAGCAAGCAACGATATGTGTTCCGCTCGTACGTGTTTTTGGTCGTGACCGTGTAACTCGTCGTGGTGCATGCAGCGAGATGGAGGTGAGCGTTTTTATCGGTAATCGTAAAAACTCTATAGATTCGCAGCCATGTTAAAGTCTGATTGTAGAGGTCTACACCCTCCGTCAGAAAAGAAAATCCAATGTTTAAATATACACTGGATTTTCTTTTTGACAGAGGGAGAAACTTTTAAATTTAGCTTTAAAAGTTTGGTGTGGACTGAAGCTGTGAAGTAACTTGTAAAAGCGTTCTACCCATATCCGTTTCTATCTTCGGTGGAGATAAAACTGTTTGACTAAAATCTACTCCCTCCGTCTCTAAATATTTGACGTTGTTGACCTTTTTAAACATGTTTGATCGTTTGTCTTATTCAAAAATTTTTAGGAATTATTAATTCTTTTTCTATCATTTGATTCAATGTTAAATATACTACTACTACTTAAGGTTTTGAATAATATTCATAAAAGTTTTTGAATAAGACAAACGGTGAAACATGTTTTAAGAAAAAGATGGAGTATTTTAGAATAGGTGGAACTGAAACGGGAGCTGCCCTCACCATGTCTCAAAATTATGTAAGGTAAGTTAGGGGAAAAGGACAAAAGCGAGCAGGTGAGGAGACGCGACGCAACAGCAAATGGTGCGCGGGCGTGTCACGGACGGGGGTGAGTTCACGTGGGCGCGCGTCGTGGTTTCGGTGGTGGGCGTTTGACCCCTGCAGGATTTCGGCCTTTGGGCCGTCGCGTCTGTGGCAGCCCGTGCTGTTTTGTTAGTTGGTTTCATGGATCCCGGCCGGATAGAGAGTGTCAGCTGAGTCGTCGCCTGCCCTGCATGTCTCCTCCAACGGAACGGCCGACGCCAGTGTCAGCCTGTGCACTTGCAGTGCAGGCGAATGCATTACACAAGGCACACCGGACACGTTACCTGGTTACCGCCAGTAAAAACTAGGGCCTCTCTGCCACGGCAACTAAGGGTCTTCCGGCTACCGGCTAGCAGCTAGCTTCATAATGTGGTGGTCTACGATTTGAGTTCGAAACCTCACCCCTTCTAATTATTTGATATTAGGTTATTTCCTAATATTCGCGTCTTTTTTTTCACGCGTACCAAATCTAGACTGTTGAGAGGGCAAGATCGGAAAGGAAAAGAAAACGACGGCATCGAGTACTGCCTTTATCCCAAAATATAGCAATATAGTACGAGCTGAGACATCCTAGGACTATAAAACTAAACATATCTTAGGTTACTACATTTTAGGATGGAAGGAGTACCTCTGCGAGAAAAGATAAGGGATGTGAAAGTGTGAAATTGTATTTTTCGCGTTGATATGAGCCTCTTAACATGTTGGGACAGGGCTTGCAAAGGCAATCCCTGGAGAGCCCAAGGATGGAGGTGTCGATGCAGGCAAATCCTAAAATTTTGGTATTTTTTTAAGCAGGACAAATTACTCTCTAACTTGACTACAACTTACAACTTATGTTCCGTTCTTTTCCCAAACAAAAATTAGATGAAGATTAAGATTTTCGTGACACGTTTTTTAAACTGCTAAACGGTGCGTAGTGGTATAATAATCTTGTATTATGTTTGATTTTTATAGGGGAGGGAGTAGCTATGAGATTCAGTCTAGTCATGAAATCTTCTCAAGACAATATTGAGGCGGGTGAATGTTCAGGAATTTCACAAAAGAGTATAAGCAGAGAAGAGCCAACAAATGGGCAGTTGTACGAATCCGCCTCTCCGTGCATATGTCAAATACGACAATAGTACAATACAGATGCGATTGTGAACCGGGTTGGTCGATCGATCGCCGGCGGCAATTTCCCATCAACTTTCAGGTTCTGGTTGCCGACTTGCCGTCATCAAACTTTTCGTCTGAAAGAGAACTGCATCCATAACTACTACTTGTAGAGCAGGAGCAGTATACCTGGATGGTGAAATTGATTGGTGATTGCCCATTAGCAGTTATAGATGATACAATCCATTCCCGGCCTCCTCACCTCACGGCGTTGATCGGTAAACGTACACCAGTGTTATCTATCTGCAGTATTTGCAGTTGAAGCACAATCATGGATGAATGATCGATCGGTGTAGCTGTTGCCATGTCGGTTTTGGCGCGGATTGGGCAATAGCCTATCCGCACCTTTTTTACAAAGATAGTAATTCCTCCATCCTAGAATATAACTATTTTTGGGGTAGGCACGGGTATTAAGAAACTAGGTATAAATGATTAGAGGAGGTTTGTGAACTTGTGATTGGTGGAGAAGAGAAAGTAGGTGAAGAAAATGGTTGTGATTGGTTCAGAGGAGAGGGTAGGTGGAGAAATAGCTTCATTTTGGGACAAGCTACCATGCTAGAAATAGCTACATTTTGAGACGGGGTGGTATAAATTTTAACCTTTGCGCTAAGAGGAAACTATTCTAAATTTTTGAAATGATGTTCTTTCGTTATTTGCATGGCACTCAAATGGTTATAAAAAATTTAAGAAGATATATTAATATGTGATGTATCACTCTACGAATATATAAGTTCAAATTTAACTTTTACATATCACAGAGAAAAAAAATTAATTCCCAATCTAATTTATTTTTTTTGTTGTGATAAGTAGAAATTGAATTTAAATTTGCATTAGTAAGCTATCTGCTATGATGCAGCTTGCCCTCAACAGTTGTAGTCAAGCTGCCACAGGAAAATAGACGCATATCGTTGTAATTCCTCACCCGTGGTAGCGACACAAACCTGCCTGCCGCCACTGTAGGCAAAGGCCTGTGATGATGTGCACGCACTGCTTCTCAGACAGGGAAAGCTAACCGGATCGACGACTACAAGTAGCTAGCTATAGCATTAGCAGCCGTTGGATAGATATATACCAATGATTGTGTCGACATTATATTGCACACTATTGAAATGTTGAATGGAAATATGAAATGAAATGCAATGCCGAATAGCTCAATACCTGAATGATTAAAGAATTCTTATCGTATCGTTTGGCGATCTGAACTTTTAATGTAGGAGTAAGACTGAATTCTTGAGCTAGCCTGGCGATCTGAATGTTAATTAGTGGTTGGCAGGCAGGCGCCAACCAGCTTGGAGTGATCTGCGGGAGATGGATTTTAATCACTCGAGTGGACATCCACTCGTTTATTATATGTCAACTAAATTTTTTTATAACTATTTAGATGACATATATCATAAACGGGTGGACATCCACCCGAGTCCCGAGTGATTAAAACGGTTTCCGGTTAGCTGCGTGCTCTATTTCCACTTTAAAACCCATGTGTATCTCGCGCCAAACTCGCTAGCTGCGCTGCTCCCGTTTTCGCGCGAAAGCAAGCAAGCAAGCAACGGCGGCGGCGGCGATGCTCTCGTTGGCCACCCGACTCCGGCGAGTCGCCGGCAAACTCGCCCGCTGCTTAGCCACCTGCGTCTTCGCCACAGGTAATAGTTTACCTAGTGTCAATTCTCTTTCAGATTATTGTATGTAGATATGCATCAGATCACTGACGATGTGTGATATGATGTGTTATTATCTGTTGCCTCTGCATGCGTGCAAGCCGGAATGATGCTAGGCGCCATTGCTGGCGTCATCGCAGGCTTCGTCAGCGAGGACGGGTTGCTCCAGGGGACGCTGATCGGGGCCATCTCCGGAGCTTTCATCGCCATGGAGGTCGTCGACTCGCTCGCCAAGATTTGGTGCTACGAGGAGTACTCCATCGCCACTCGAGCTCACCTCATGGTTAGCTATCTTCGTGTTTCTTGTCAGAAAAAGAATGTTCATCGCCATGGCTGCAGACTAACCGATCTCCTGCGTAGCTCAGCTGCTTGTGTTCTGGAATCTTGTGATTGATCGCCTCACCGTGCGCACCTCGGTTTTCCCTACCTTAACCACGGTGTTGGATAGCCAGGTACTACCTCCGTTTCAGGTTGGTTATAAGATGTTTTTGACTTTGGTCAAAATTAAATTGTTTTAAGTTTGATTAATTTTGTAAAAAAATAATAACATTTTCAACGCAAGATAAATTTATTATGAAAATATATTCAATTATTGATTTAATAAAACTAATTTGTTATTATAAATGTTACTTTATTTATTTATAAACGTAGTTAAATTTGAAGTAGTTTGACTTTAATCAAAGTCAAAACGTCTTATAATGGAGGGAGTAGTAAATAAGAAAATATTGTCACTTCCTGAAATTCATCATGCGGATTAATTAATTACATTCTGTCTACCTGAAAGCACCATACAGAACATTTTCAAATGAATCTTTTGAGTGAGTACATAAATTCAAGAACAGTCTGTGATGTGACAAATGAAATTTATTGCCTTTTGTATTAAGTAGTATTAAAACAACTAATGAAAGCGCTAGCTAACAGTGTCATTGATGAATATCTAGTTGAACGCGGTGCCGTCGCGCCATAGACGAGCAGAGGTGAGCGGCGACCTGACCGGCCGGAGTTACCCGGTGGTGATGGGCATGCGGCTCGCCGCCGTCGACCAGCTTCCGGTGATCAAGCTCACGGCGGCGCAGACGGACGCCACCGGCGCCTGCCCCATTTGCCTTCACGTACGTCGCCGCCGTCGGTCCACAATTAACACTCCCCCATCTTCCATGAACAAATGTACAATCAGAGATGCATCATTTACAGTTTATTCAGAGTTATTTTGCTTCTCTTTTTTTTCCCCATTTTGTCGTAGGATTTCAAGGCCGGCGAGATTGCCAGGAGATTGCCGGCGTGTTGCCACATCTTCCATTTGGGGTGCATCGACAACTGGTTGCTGTGGCATGCCCTATGCCCAATGTGCCGTCGTCCTGTCAACTAAATGCAGGTGTACATAGTACATATGTAGACTTGCAAAAATAACTCAGGAAACCTAGAAACCTTTTTGTTGCACAAAGCATTTAACAAGAGTTTAATTTTTTTGCGACTCTGTTTCTTCATTTTCTACATAGCCCAGCATGAATAAAGCTACAGTTTCAGAGATAATAAATACGTATACACACCACTGCACAAAACGATATCTCAGGAGAAATCCAAAAGAACCTCGCAAAAAAGAATTTCAGGTGTGTTTAGTTCACGTCAAAATTAGAAGTTTGGTTGAAATTGGAACGATGTGACGAAAAAGTTAAAAGTTTGTGTGTGTATGAAAGTTTTAATGTGATGGAAAAGTTGAAAGTTTGAAGAAAAAGTTTGGAACTAAACTCGGCCTTCTACTGAAAATGAACCTGCATGTGCAAACCTGCTCAGTGCTCCAATATCGCCAGCATATGGATAGAAATCATGGCATTGACCACGACCAGATTGCAGCATGACAGGGTAACCATGTGGTGCGACAAGAAAACGGCAACAAAGAGAATCAATCCTCTCTGATATCAAACTAAAACGAATAATTACAAGCAGTAAGTAGATGCCCACAAGAATGACCCTACCGCCCCACCACACACAACCAACATGGTACTACTACACTACTCTACAGGTTAACATCAGCACGCACATTCTAGGGGTCCAAAAACTGGGGCAAATGCAACAAGCTCCTACTGAATGTGGGGGCACTGAGACAGTCATGTAGCATCCACTGAAATCTGAGAGTATGGCCCCTCCACGCAGGGCCGTTTCTCGGTAGCGTCCTCCGAACCTTTGGGTTCGGCATGCGTTAGAAGGTCTTCGTAGAGTTTGACGGAATCCTTGGAGAATTCGGTCAGCGACTCGAATATGCTGGCCAGGCCGATCTTGAACCCGTTGAGAGTAACATCGTGCGTATCGCGCATACAGGCGTGGTGCTTCGCTTTCTCGGCCTCGACCCTCTTCCTCAGCACATTCAGCATTTCCTTCTTCTCCGACAGGTGCTCCATGCGCTGCTTCGCGTCCTGCTCAGGTCTGTGCTCCAGAAGCTTGGTCTCAATAACCTTGTTCTCTGCTCTCTTGTAAGCACTGATCTTCTTGTCCATCTCTTTCGCGAGGCTGTCCACCTTTCTTTTCTGCTGTTGCTCTTCCCCTTGCTTGAGCCATAGCACTCTCACGCTTCTGATGAAGTTTCTCATGGTGAAAGCTACCCGCTTGTTTTGAAACTTTGACAGCGTAGTGTACCAGTCATGACAAATCACGACCAAAGGTGGAGCACTGGACCTATCAGGAGCAATCGACGATATCCCTCGAGAATAACGGATGGTATCCGTTAGGATAAACTTGGAGAGCCAGCCATCAAGAGCTTCAATGTATGCTTTCTGAGCACTGACATAGATCATAAAGCAGGACCTCCAGTTACGCAGTTCAGCCTCCAACTTAAGAGTAGCATGCCGCTGGGCATCGTTACAGAATTTGCCATAAGCAGGGCAGGTGAACGAATTCACCTCAAACATTATCTGTCTCTGGGTTTCATGTGAGTCCACCATTATTTTCCAAGTTCTTGTCAGCCTGCCAAGGAGGCAAGCAAACCATCAGTTTTAACAACAGGAATGGGACTAGCAGAACTTACCACACACGGATGTAAGGTCAGCTTACCCCTGCAAAAGCTCAACAAGTTGTGGTTGCAGTTCCTCATCCCGCAATTTTTGAATTCTATCAGATATTGATTCCGCTGCACGTAGAGAAACCCAGATCCTTGTGTACAAGTCTCTAACAGTTGTCCTAGTTTTTTCAGCGCAGCGCAGTTCTGAACCTTTGGCGTCTTGGTTCCTCAGCTGCACGCACTTCTTCTCATAAGTTTGTCGGATTTGATCTATAGCCTGAACAGTATCAAATACGATGAAAATACATTAGATAACTAAACAAAATGTCTTGACTGAACATGCTACCGGAGTACAAGATGAAGTAATCAGAGAGCTAACAAACAACATAAACTGTTTTTTGGACAAAAGGCCCATGGCCCAGCTTTTTACCTAAAGTATAACATGTTCAGAACAAAGTATTGCTGGGAATACCAGCTTTCGAAACACCGCCCAAAACATTCTACCTACACGACAGGCCAAACGACAAAGAAAAGGAACGTCTGAAAAACTTGAACCTGCCAAAACATCCAACATCCCACAGACAAGAGCAGCGAAACCCTCCTGGACACAAAAGCAACATAAACTGTGGTACTTTGTATTTCGAACATCATCTAACAAAGTTGGTGAGATGAACCATATGGCCGTATCCACAATGCACCCAATGTAGCTTTCAGACTTAGCTTCATTCGCTAATTTGATCATCAGGTAGTGCCGCTTTAGCTCAGAAAATTAGTTGTTTCAACCATAGATGGAACAATAGCACCATGCACGTAAAGATAATCTAATATACACCATGTTCTTTATTTATGCAGCGAAATGAAAGTCAAATGGCAATCAGATAAAAGAACTCAGCAAGATCAAATGGAATCATCAACAAAGTATCAATAACACACCTTAACTTCTTCATAGAGTTTCTTCTCCCAGGCATACAATCTCCCTAAAGTCTGTGAGTGACTTCCTGACTTCATTCCGCCATAGTCATCGAATATATCACTCTTAGTTTCACTCTTGTCTGTCCATGACAAACTGTTCGAGCTGGCTCCCAGCTCACTCCTGTAGGATGAGGACACCGATGATGGGGATCGGTGCCATGTAATGGCATGGATTATTTTTGATGAATTTTCTGCACCAAGAAACCTCAAAGTTAAATATTACACATACTAGTAAGTGATAATACCATGTGCTAATAATGTTCAGATGTGGTCAAACTCCTCAATCTTAATACAAAGATATGCAAGACTTAACAGTATTCCCGAAAAAAAAAGGGGGCTAAGAATGTACTGTCGACCAAAGAATAGTATCAAATGAATTGCTCAAACAGGACTGAAAGAACAGATTCATGATACTGATCATCAAGCAGGCGCCTTTAGCCTTTTGAAGCCCGAAAAGAATTCCTTTGGCTACCAACAATCATCAAGAACACCATATAGTAGCATCAAAAGGGATATAAAATGGTCCAATGAAATGACTGCAAAGTGGAAAAGGGGATAACAAATTGACAGTGGGTGGCTATTACATCAGCCAAAGAATATTTAAAGGCACTTTTTTAAGAAATATGCTCTGTCTAATCTCCAGAGGCACAGGCGGTCCTAAACAAAGAACAGTACCATCTAAAATTCCATGATACCCTGAGTATAAAAAGGCAGTATATCCAAGTTTATAACAAATGCCTTTCTCTTAGATATAAAAAGATCTATCCAAAACCACTCAAAACTCGCAGCTTTTACCCCCAAAAACCTTGCGATTTCCACAAACAGCAAAAGGGATTTGTCCATCCCTTCTTGGCAGTACAATGTGTGTGGCATAGATCGAGTAAAGTGGCAGTAAGAAAAGAGAGAGAAATCGAGGTGAGGAAAAGTTAATGAGACGCAGTTAAGAGAAGGCGAGACCTTTGAGCTCGGGGACACGGGAGGCGGCCTCGAGCATGGCGGTGACCTCCTTGCCGGCCTCGGCGGCGCGCGCGAAGAGCTCCTCGATCTCCTTGAGCGCCGCGAGCAGCTCGCGCCCGGGCTGCGACACGGCCACCTCCAGCCCGCCGCCGCGGCCGCCATTGTTGCTCGCTACCTCGCACACGTCTTTGGCCTCTTCTTGCTTGGTCACTCCGAGCGAAGTTTCCGCTGCTTTGGGGGTCTTGGCGTTCGCCGCCGCCGCGGACTTTGCCCCCTCGTCGTCTTCCTCCTCCGCCTCCTCTAGCTCCGGGATCCCCTCCCGCTCCCTCACCGCGCGCATCTCCTCGTCGCTGATGGCCGCGGCCGCCACCTCCTCCGTTCCGTAGAACGGGTTAAAGAAATCCCACCCTCCAACCGCCGACGCCGCAGGAGGCGGCGGCGGCGGCGTCGCCGTCGCCGTCTCCGGTGGGGCGTAGTAGTAGGGGCACCCCAAATCCGGCGTCCGCGCGCCGCCGCCGTCATCCACCTCCGCCTTCCCCTCCTCCTCCTCCCCCCCCTGCGCCACCGAGGCGAGCGCCGCGGGCGCGGGGGCGGGGGCGGGGGACGCGGGGGGCGAGCCCGTCGGGGTGGGGAGCGTGATGAGTATCGGCGCCGGCGCGGTGTGGCGCGCGACGAACACGTCCACCGCGTCGGCGACCGACCGCAGCGCCGCCGCGTACGCCGCGTGCGCCCCGGCCAGCGCGAACCTACGGTCCGCCGCCGCCTTGATGAGCCGCTTCCGGTCGCGGCACACCGCCACGGGGTCCCCGCACCCGCCCCCGCCCCCGCCGCCGGCGAGGCGGGACGCGGCGCAGTTCCCCATCCCACCACCACCACCACTAAACGAGGGTTTTGTGCAGGGTTTAGAGGAGAGTGAGAGTGATGGGGAGGAGAGGAGTGGTCAAAGTCAAAGTGGGGGTGTGTGCAAGAGACAGTGGGAGAGATGAGAGGAAGGGTGGTGAAGGTGAGGTTTTGTTGGGGGAGGAAGAAAGGGGGGGTAGGAGCCCTAAATTCTGATGATGATGGCAAGGGAATCTTTGGTGATTTGTTTATGTGGGCCACAAAGATTTGGGTTTTGTGGGGTTGGGGAGGAGTGATGTGCCATTATGGCACATGAATATTGCTATGGTGACCAGATGAATACTCTTGGGTTGACCACTTAACCCTCTCCTTTCATTTCATCGATGCAGGACATTCCCGGTACACTAATGTAGTGAGTGGCTCGCACTGGTTAGGTTGGTGTGGCGGCTTTAGCTCGACCTAGCTCGTGCCCGGCAGAGAGCGTGGACTCGCCGATAGGAATGTGGGAGGTTCCTCTTGCCGATACTGATGTGTTTTCTCTTTGTCGATATTGATGTGATCGCCCTCCATAGTACTCCCTCCATAAAAAAAAAAAAGATAAATCATGGGTTTCCGTGTCCAACGTTTAACCGTCCATTTTATTTAAAAAAATTATGAAAAAAAATTAAAAAGACAAGTCACGCATAAAAGTATTAATCATGTTTTATCATTGTAACATCCCGGCCTAGGGCTTAATAGGATTAATAGAATACTCATATCAACAAGTTGCAACTTCTTTTCCGGAAGCCAATCTCCAAAGAACTCCAGGGTTAAGCGTGCTTGGCCTGGAGCAATTTGGGATGGGTGACCGACCGGGAACCAGGGCAGTCTATGACCTATGAAATCTATCAGATGTAAGTGGGCCCGGCCTGGGGGAAAAAATTTCATATAAGACAGACAGTCAAATGTTGGACACGGAAACCCAGGGTTTGTCTTATTTTGGGACGGAGGGAGTAAGAAATACCATAATAACCTTAAGGAATTTCATTAGATTGTCTTCACCTTGAAGAATCAAGCTTGGAATTACATCTTTTGCCACCCATAAGCCCCTTGTGCAATAGGCATGCCCCTACGTGACGCTTACGACCCCCTTCCCTTAGCATGGTTTCTGGGCGGGTGGCGGCTAGAGAGGAAAGAGGCATATCTAGAGAAGGAAGAGGTAGATTTATAACGATTGTACTAGGAGGGTCTCGCCACTGTCGCAATCACCAACCATGGAACTCATCGGCCAAAGCCGCTTCCAACTCATCGCATCATGATGCTTGTGGGTCGATTTGTGCTGTTTTAGAGCTCATCGGCCCATGCCATCTTTTGATATATACTTGCTTTAGATCTATACCACTACATAGCTCAATAATTGTCCCTAGTTAAACCAAGTCGATCAAGATTCGGAGTGGTAATCATAAAAGCAAAAGGAGTTCTAATCGGGGACAGGCGAGGAGTAGACAAATTGTGCTTGGAGGCGAGGGGGAAGCTGGTTGCGACAACGATGGGATCAGACTGGTGACGTTGGAGCTAAGACAACAAACAACGATAGGGTCTAAGAATCATAGGGCTTAGAGAGAAAATGAGCGAAGAATTGAGGATTTAAAAAGTTATCCGCGAAAAAGTAATGAAGAAAGCTTTTGTAAAATAAAAATCATTTTGTAGCATGAAAAGCGCGTCCATAAATACTACTTCATCCGTTTCATGTTATAAGATGTTTTGACTTTGGTTAAAGTCAAACTGCTTCAAGTTTGACTAAATTGTAGAAAAAAAATAATAAAATTTTCAACCCAAGACAAATTTATTATAAAAATATATTCAATTATTATTTTAATAAAACTAATTTGGTATTATAAATATTATTATATTTTTTTATAAACTTAGTCAAATTTAAATTAATTTGACTTTAATCAAAATTAAAAACATATTGTACCTTGAAACGGAGGGAGAACTCATGATCCCTAAGCTACAGAAAACGCCCGAGCCATGGGGGAGTATGTAGTATCCTGGAGTCCAGATGGATTCGTGGACTGAACTAAAAAGAAAACATACATTACACAAAGTTCACTTATTCTTATCCATGGAGAAGATTTGGGAAAACGTCATGCGAGCAGCGGCAAATCATCGAACGTAAAAGTAGATTCCGTCGTCGACCATGCTGATTCATGCGTGCAATGATGATGATGCAGTGCTGCAGAGAGCAGGCTATTAACCTGCATACAGTACTGTAGGAGTATGCCGCAACAACAAGAAGATGATGTTGTGCAACCACAACAAGCACAAGAGGAAGAAGACGATGTTGACTCAAGTTTGCTAAAACTGTGACATGTGAGTAAACCAATTATACCCAACTATTATTCCCCACTCGCCGGCCCAGCAACTGAAAAAAGCAATCAACGACCTCAATTGATTGATCTCATCCGCATGACACGAACAAATCCCAGTACTTCCTTCGCCTTAAAATATACTCTACTCATCTCAGAACATAAAAAATTAGTATCGAATTAAACACATCCTAGCATTATCAACGCATCCGTACCTATCTAGATTATAGATTCGTAGTGTTAGGATGTGTTTCATTTAATACTAAAATTTTATATTTTTTTTGATAAGGATAGTAGTTATTTGATATTATCTACTCTATATTATTTCTATTCAAATCTATAGTTGTGATATCAAATTCGGTACTGGAGAGCTATATTTTGAAATGGGTTTGGAAAAGGGGTGCTACGATTTCGCACAGGAGCAAAGTACAAAAAGGCAAATGGTTCTCACTTGCTACTCCTATGTATGCCGGCCTTGCAGCTGGCAGCGAAGAAACCCATCGGTGAACACCGAACAGTACTATGCTCTCCTGCTCCGTTGTTTCAGACACCGGGCTGGCTGCCTCCGATCATTGCATTTGCATGGCTCCAATGGCTGCTGCTCCCATCATTGCGTTGCGCTCCGGATATAAGGCAAATTACTATATTTTAGGATGGAGTATGCTGCTACTAGCTCGTCCATCCTTTTCATACGTTTTCCGCCGCTGCAGCTGTGCGGTGTCACGGATGAGCAGCAGCTAAGCCGCCACCAATCCTCCAGTTTCCTGCCAATTTATCCATCACCTTACTCCTACTGATCTCCTTGTGACTCGTACTAATTGAGTAGTGACAGTATTATGATATTGTCTCAACTCTCTTCTCCATGTAATGCTGGAGTTAAACAATTGGGGACAAAGACGACAAAGCAGGTTTGCTCCCGGTCGTTGCAACTAGCTGATTAAACAATCTGACGAGCCCAAGTTACAAGGGCAACGGGTGTTCTTGTTTGCTGTCACCTAGACGCTCATCACACGGCCCCAGTTTTATCTCTTTCCAATGGACGGCTCGATCCTTACCCAGGGGTACACGACAATTTTCACTAAATTTCGATATTTTCAGATCAAATTTACTGCTTAAAATCATTCGAAATTTACCTCCAAATCTGTTCATCACGTAGACATCTCAAATTTTTTTTTTGCCATTTTCGACCTGCTTCCGTACGGAACGTGAACCCTTCACAAGTTCACAAGCCATCGGGCATCATCAAACCGGTGGCTTATGCGGGTTTACGATATCGCGTGGTTACTACATGCTTATCACACTAACCTCGTACGATAGCCTTCTCGGTTTTTAAAACTCTCTTTTTCCAGGGATACCTAACGGTTTTTACGGTTACTCCCATGGACAACGGTAACCTTTACCAAAACGGTAAAAGTAAAAACCCTGTTGTGTGCACGGCCGCAGCATGATGTGGTGGGCGACATGGAGAAATCAGGTCCGGCTTTCCTGGAGCATGAAGAAATCTCTGAACTTTTTGCATTCGACGTGAGATGAGAGAGCTACCAACAAAAACAAACAGCAACAACCGGAATTCAGCGTTGGGTGTGTGTCCACAGGAAATATGCAGTGCAATTTGCTTTATCTGTCTGAACCCTCTACACACATATCTCGGTCGTGTACTGTGCGTGACACGCGTGAGAGTTATCTGTGCATTTTTTTCTGATGGCGCTGTAGCAATCTGGTGGGCACACAGCACAGGTGCAGAGTGGTCGTCATGAATGGTCAGTGACAAACAACACTGGTACGGTGTATGGATCAATTACTGTGTCCTTCATCTGAAGAAATTTACTGTGTCCTTTGCCTTCTTCCTGCCTCCTTTTAATTCTCCCCTGTGTTTTCTTAATGAATACCGCGAAAAAAAAACTCCCTCCGTCCAATAATATTTGCAAAGTTTTTCTTCAAGAATTATGATTTCTTAAAAACTGTCGAAGTATTTTTTTTTTGAAAACTTTTAACTGTAAACTGCATTTGTAATTACAATGTACATACATTATAATGAATTGTATTTAACTTATTTGCAAATGATATGGAAGTTAAATGTGTTTTTAGATACTTATCATATATAGAAGTTATAAATATAGTTATAGTATACTAGTTACAATATAATTATACTATAGTTATATTTAAAAGTTTTTAAAAAATAACTTGCGGTAGTTTTTCAGGTAGTTTGACTAGTTTCAAAGAAATCAAGGTTGAGGTGAGAAATTATCTAACTCCAGTGTTTCAATTTTAAGATTTAATTTTAGAGTTGACTTTAATATTTTTTTCATTGTAATTTATTTTCCAGTATTAGTTTTAAGTCACTAAGAATACATATAAAAAATATTGCGCAAAAAACAAATACTTTTGGCTAATAAGTGTGATGGGTCATGATCAGCCTAGGTGAAGCGGTGGGGCGGATTATAATTGTTGAAATAACGTAATAATCAGGATTATATTCTTGATAAATTTTAAACCCTTATATTCATATATACAAAGTACTCCTCCCTCCGTCCTATTTTAAGTGCAACCATGATTTTCCGTGTACAATTTTAACCGTCCGTCTTATTTAATTTTTTTTTTGAAAATTTTGAAAAACATAAGTCACATGTAAAGTACTATTCATATTTTATCATCTCATAACAATAAAAATACTAATTATAAAAAAATTAAATAAGACGGAGAATTAAAATTGGGCACGAAAACTTATGGTTGCACTTAAAATGGAACGGAGGGAGTACATCCATCTTAAAATATGGAGAAAGTCACGTATCTTAGAATTACGAATTCTAATATGAAGAGATATTTGTTTAAATTTATAGTACGATTGTATTAAATCCGATTGAGTTGTTATATTTTAGAACAAACAAAAAGTATACTACCTCTGCCACCAATACTAGTATTATAGGACCTGTCTGGTAGAGCTGCAAATTCTAAATTTAGCTCCAGGAGTTGGGGTCTGGAGTGGAGTTGTGGAGCTGCCTAAACCCAGCTCCACATCTCTAGTTCAGGCCCAGTTTGGCACAGCTCCAGCTCCAAACAGTCTAGATCCTCCGTTTTTTTGAGCGGAGTTGGCAGAGCTGCTCCACAAATTTACAGTACGGGGGTAGAGCTGGGTTTTCGCTGCTCCACAGCTCCACTCCAACCCAAAAGACCTACTGCCCTTTAAATTTTCTTTTACATATTTACACAAAAAGACACTCAACTACCCCTAACTCATCTCTCACCTCTCTCTCTCCCTCCCGTCACCCTCAGTCCCCACCCCGACGGACTCAACGGCGGCCGGCGCGCGGTTGGCGGCGAGGTCGACAGCGGGCAGCGGGGTCGACGGCGCACGGCGGGGCGGCGCGTGGTGGGCGGCGTGAAGCGGGTGTTGTGCGGCGGGTAGCTGCCGGAGTAGGGGACATCGTGTGGCCGGCGTGCGGACCGTGGTGTCCGGCGCATGGACTGTGGTGGCCGGCCACACGCGGGGACGGCGACGACACAGTTGCTGCGGACACTGCGATTTGGGATTTTTTTTAATTTCAGATCTGGAGCTCAAAAACTAACAAACACTTTTTAGCAAGTCTCCAGCTAGTGGGAGCTGGAGTTTAGAGCCCTACCAAATGGGACCTCATTTTGTGAGAGAGCTTCACCTAGTTCTACTCCTATTTTAGATGAAGTTAAAACTGTTTGGCTGAGCTCCAACTTCAGAAGAGGTGGAGCTGGAACTCAAGTCGTGCTAAACAGGACAACCGGAGAAACGTCGTTGGGTTCAATGTAGACGTCGTCGGTTTGTTGGGCGGTAAGATTCATGAGCAGAGCACAAGATTATCAAACTGTGACTGGTTGCTGGATGGATACTGGATAGTGGAGGGGGAACGCGTCACCGTAAAGGCTGCAGAGTCCGCGAGAGAACCGAGGTTTCGAGGCAGCCACACTGCCGCTACCACCGCTGCTGCTGTTTAATCTACTGTATTGAGTAGCTAGTGCGCCATGCTGCCGCCGTTGCCGTGTGCACGGGACGACGACACCGTGACCGCTGCTGCTGCCCTCCTCGCCTGTGACGCAGGTTGCGTAGGCCTGGTTTAGTTTCTAACTTTTTTTTCTTTAAATTTTTAACTTTTTTCTTCTAATTTTTTCATCAAATCGTTTCAATTTCAATTAAACTTTCAATTTTAATGTGAAACATACCCCCGGTGGAGTCGTGGCGCCATTGACGAACCTTTCAGCTACGCGCGCAGGTAGCCGTAGCACTGACGACCGTAATGCGGTCCCAGTACTCTGAATATATAATACCGTATGTGAAAACAGTAGGATTTCTCATTCGTGGTGGTAGTATGATGGGAACTTCCTCGCCCAGCTTTTTTTTTTCTCTCTCGGGTTTTTCGCTGACTTATACTTCATTCATCCGTTTCATGAAAAGAAATCAAATCCTGACTTTTCAAATTTCGATTTTTTTTTTTAAAAAAAGAGGGTGTATGTGTGTGAAATCGAAAATTTCTGGAGTGGGCATGTCATTATATTTGTGGTTTAGTAAGTAACATGTGCTTTTCTGGTTTCATTTAAGTTTGTTGCGCAAATGGCTGTTCAAACTTCTTAATGGTGATGGTCTATGGTAAAACTTTTTACGCAACAAGTACTTAAAAGGTAAACCCCTCTCCCACATGTCACACAAACCAGGAACATCCTAATTTTGGGCTGGCTTAATGAAAGTAAAAGATCAATTTTATCAGTATGGATCTTTTAAACCTGGTAATGGGATGGAAATAAGATTTTGGGAAGACACATGGTTGGGCTTGCAACCTATCAAATATCAATATCCTTCTATGTACGATATGGTTCAAAAGAGACATTCTACTTTGGCAGAGGTTATGAGCACAACACTGTTGAATGTTTCATTCCGACGATCAATTGTAGGACCAAAGTTAGTTGAGTGGAATGATTTGATTTCTCAACTAGCTAACATAACCCTGTCAAATGAAAATGATTGCTTTATTTGGTTGCTACATAAAAATGGCCATTTTTCGGTCAAATTCATGTATAATGTGATCATCAATTCCAATATAAGAATCCACAAGAGGATGCTATGGGAGGTAAAGGTACCACTAAAAATCAAAGTATTTATGTGGTTTCTTTTTTAAAAAAAGTAATCTTGACGAAAGATAACCTCATAAAGAGAAAATGGAGGGGAAACAAGCAATGTTGTTTTTTAATACACAAGAGACCATCCAACATCTTTTCTTTGACTGTCATGTTGTACGTTTTGCTTGGCGATGTGTCTTCTTTGCCTTCAATATCCCCCCTCCCCACAATGCAAAAGATATTTTTGGTAACTGGCTAAGGGGAGTGCCTAGACCCATAAAAAATAATTTTATTTGGAGCTAGTGCTCTATGTTGGTCAATTTGGCGTTGCCGTAATGATATAGTTTTTAACCATAAAAAAATGCCTAACATCATGTAAGTTATCTTCATGCGTTCCAATTGGCTCTACTCTTGGTGTATGATGCTTTTACAGGAACAACATGATACTATATGCAATGGTGTTACACGCTTGGAATTGGTAGCCAAGGAACTTTTACTCCAGTTTGGATGGCGTAGTACCTACAGAATTTCGTGATAGAATCTACGTGATTTTAAAAAACATTATTTTAGTACATCATATTATCAGCAGAAGTTGGGGGTTTGTCCCATCTCGCTTTTTTTAAGTTCTTTTCTGTTCACTTCTGGACTTTTTGGCTGTGTGTCTACGGGCAGAGGCCAAAGATGTAACCCATTTCCATTGTCTAAAAAAATTTAAGCTTGGCATTGATTGTAAGCTGGTATCGAACTCTTCAGTAAAAGCCGAGGGGCTCTCCAACTCCCGAGACACACCGAATAGATATTTCCAGATGGGCCCAAATCCTGCCATATATTCGGCCAGAATTGTTTTCTTCAATTTACCCAGATTGAGGCCCATTCAAATCAGGCCTGAATTACATAACAATATAACGATTCAAAATTATATGAAAGTTACATATAAGTTATACTGTATTTACATTATAATTGCACTAGATTATACTGTAATTACATATGTCAAATTTTTAGGAGAAAATTTATCGACAACTATATAGCAAAATTGTTCGTGGTTTCGTTCAGCTTGATTTCGCTTGACACATCGAATAGACTTTCCAGATGGGCCCAAATCCTGCCATATATGGGCCAGAATTGTTTACTTCAATTTACCCAAATTTAGGCCCATTCAAACCAGGCCTTAGTGGGCCTTCCAACTCGATCCGATCCGATCCGATCCAACTCATCCGACCACGACGTCTCGTCCGGATCAGGTCGTCTTCCTCCTCCGTCTCCCCACTTGCGGGAGAGAAGAGAAGGTTCAGAGTAGCACACGCTGCACCGCGCGCAGCCTCGAGCTCGAGGAGAGGGAGATTTGGCCCCCCGATGGCGAGGCCGAGGGCGCCGCTGCTGCGGCGGATGCTGCTGCTGTGCGCGGTGGCGGCCTCCTGCTCCTACTACCTCCTCGTCCTCCACGCGCAGGCCTCCGTGCCGCCGCGCTACGACGGGTTCGCCTACGGGGACGCCGCCACCGCCGCCTGGAAGGACACCATCCTCGTCGAGGCCTTCCTCGACCCGCTCTGCCCCGACAGCCGCGACGCCTGGGCGCCCCTCAGGCTCGCCGTCGACCGCTACGCCCCCAGGGTCTCCCTCATCGTCCACCCCTTCCCCCTCCCGTAAGAGTTCCTTGCTCTCTCTCTACCGTATTTGTAGAATTGTGATGCTCTATTCCCAGTATTCGTTGCCGCAAAGGGGAAATTTCTCCTTTTTTTTTCTTTTTCTTTTTTTTTACTTTTCTATCTATATGAAACGGGAACTGGAAGTATTATAGTATGTGTGACCTCACAGTTTTTTAGATAGGATAGCAAATTGATCCTGAGATAGATAAACTGGTGTAATTTTTGCGGGTCTGGTAGTCTGTCTTGCTTGCACTGACTAATTTGGATAGCAAAATTGCCCTAATTTAACTGACAATCCTCATATGTAGGTGTTATGGATAAAGGTTGTTTAAACAAGAAATCCTCTACCATTTTTGTTATGAGAAAAGAAACCGTGATAGAGTTAACTGCAGAAGATAAGAAAATGGCCGGAGCAACATTGACATATGTGGTGCCATCCCATCAGGCCACCACAATGCAATGAGCCCAAACAACGACTAAAATGTAAAACCCTAGGAAAGCCAAACACGAGTTCATGGCATAGTCACTGCTGTGGAATTAGCCAATAGGGTTGTGAATGTTCAGATTCATTGCAGCTTTATGTCCATAGAAGATGTGAAATTGGGAATTACCTGATAGCAAGCTAGTTTCCATCTCATCATAGTTAGTTTTTTGATATACTCCCTCCATATTTTTTTGTTTGACGTTGGTTAGCTCAAAATAGAACTAACCAACGTCATACATTTGTGCATGGAGGTAGTAGGTCTGTACAATTACAACGGTTGTTTTTATGTTGGTTTCTGCCCTTCTGTTTTTGGTTGAAATTCTGTCCTGCTTTGTACTGTGTTTGATCATACACTGTTCATTGCTTGGCACGGTTCATAGCAAAGGGTTGTGCTGGGTTATTTCCTTTTAACCGGTTATCTTTGGATCAAACACCTGGACAGCGGTTGACGTTTCTGGTTTATCTGAGGAATCTTTGGTATCAGGTAGATTAAATTTCGTTCAAATATTAAGGATTCCAATCCTGATCCTGCCATCCAAACAGACCTGTAATGGCAGCTTGTGATACAGAACAATTTATTTGTTAATCAAACTTGCTATGCAGAACCTTGTTTTTGTAGGATCAACCGTTCAAGTGAATGAATCAAATACAGACCAATCTGATGCTATCTATTAAATCCAAGAACTTCATTTCCTTGATATTAAAGTGTTAAGTGTCTTCAATTTAGACAGCAGATGGTTGGGTATTGCTTCATGTGCTGGGTTGAGGTCATTGTTTTTATTGAGTTTGCCCTTTTCTATTGTTATACTAAAAAAGCAACAAATTATTCTTACACTTTCTACTGTAAAATTGCAGGTACCACACCAATTCATTCCTTGCCTGCCGTGCACTTTACATAGCTAACAAATTGAACTCATCATCGACCTATCCTTTGCTGGAGCTGTTCTTCAAGAGCCAGGTCCTTCACATTTTTCTTTACTATTCTGTATAATTGTTTGTGAATGCTAGTTAGGAAGCCATGTACAAGGATAAATCTTTCTTGCTTTCAGAATTTCAGTATCCTCATAAATCACAAAATGGCATTTGACTCTTGAATTTGATAGCTTTTTTTTTGTCATACAATTCATGCACTGCAGCTCCTTTTCTTAGTGCTTTACATGGTAGTTTTTCTAATATAGTTGAATTACAATACTGGATGAACACAAGCAGGGTAAGTTCTACAATGCTGCAACATCCTCACTATCGAGCACTGTTATAAGTGGCGAGATGTCAAAGCTGGCAGCACGGGTTGTCGGTAATTCGGTGTCTGAGTTCCAGTCAGGCTTCAGCGATATAAGGACTGACCTAGCAGCGAGGGTTTCCTTCAAGGTCAGCTTTACTACTGATTGCATCAAGTACATTGTTTGAATTCTTAAGCAGTTTCTCTTGACTTTTTTATCGTTCTTATTGATGGAAATGCCTCTGAATTATGGCTTTGTCCTGTTCTAGTATGGGTGCACGAGAGGAGTAGCCGGTGCACCGTTCTTCTTTGTGAACGGATTCCTTCAGCCTGGTGGTGGATCGCCTATTGACTACAGCACATGGGTCAGCATCCTGGATCCCCTCGCTGGGCAGCATGGCGATAGATTAGAGATGTTCACCTCTATGTAAGTATTTGAAGCGTGTTGTAAACTTGTAATAATGATTTTGGGAATACTAACAGTTCGTCTATTTGATGCAATAAATATTGATCTTAATTATACTGGAACATTTTCTACCAAGTGATGAGGGCAGACGCTAGAAGAGGTGGCATGTAGAACTTCACATCTCCAGCCCCAACTAAAATACTTGAAGTACCAGAGATAACTAAAATAACAGAAGTGACAATGTCTGTAGTGCTTCACCATTGTTCTTGCAGCTGGCATGCGTAATGATGGTGTGAATCACATTTCTCCGGTGTTACCTTGGAGCCATTTTTGTTAAGTACATGGATGGGACTCTAGAGTATCCAGTTCTTATACGACATAAGATTACCTTCCATCTACTCTCTCCGTCCCATAATATAAAAGATTTTGAAGGGATGTGACACTTTACTGTGAATCTGGACATGGATCCCTCCGGTTTTTCTTACAGTCTGGTGTATTCAGGTTACTTAATTAAGATACAAATCCATCATATATACGGTCGGTCTCCCAAAATACAATCAATCCGTTATTCGCAATACATCTCTCCTGTACAGGCTTTCAATTTCTCCAGTATCTGAAAGTTTCCCAATGCGTAACCACTAGCTCTTTTTCTCTCATTTCTGCTTATAAATTTGGATCAGCATCTCTCTGTCTAGTGGACTGATGGGGATAGAAGATAAAGCAACGTGTGCTGTGTTGCCTTGGACCTTGGGGTGTTCAGTAACCTGTAGACAATAGACAAATGCAATGTTTACTGATGTTGCTTGCTCATTGGTTTGGTAGAACATCACCATCAGGCCAATCGAATCCAGAGCCTCATCAGGTGCAATGCATAGCCCCTACCTGCACTAATTTGCCTGCCACCCAAAGCTGCTAATTTAATGACCTAATCAAACGATCTTCTCAGGATCCTGTTCCTCATTCCCCCCACTGTTACAACTAAAAAGAGTTTGTGTGGCTGGGTTCGTTCTGATTAGGTCACCAAATCCTCCCCAGATTGCAAGATTTTCTGTGGCTGGCTAATCTACAAGGCATTAATCTGGCTCTTTTTTTTTTGTGTGTGTGATTAGTGATTAGGTAGTAGCATCCGTGCATAGTATGTGACATGTGACCTTACGTTTCCTGGTGGTACACAAGCCGTGCGACGCGACCAACTCGACGTGGCTGGTGTATGAATATGATAAGGTTGTTTAATCAGCCTGATGATGAAATCACTCGGTTATCAGCTCAGCTCGTACAAGAGATCTCCTGCTCTTGTATGGTGTGGATGCTGCTGCAGTGCTACTAGTAACTGCTAGTCTCGCGTGTGCAGGAGCTTTCTCAAATTCTCATCAGAGTTTGATTTGCTGGTCCAGTGCCTGTCTGCCTGCCTGGGTTGGTTACTTGGTTGCCTTTTGTTCCACAGTCGGCGAATTTTTCACAAACCGTTGATCTATTCAACCATTCAGCCAGCACAGAAGTACACCGGACAACATAGGCCCGATTCTTCTCCGCTTAATCACCGTATTTTTTAAATAGATTATAAATTTGCTCCATGCCAAAAAAAAGTTATGTTTGTTTGTCACAGCTCCAGCTCTACCTCTCTAGGAGCTGGAGCGCAACAAAGCAATTTTAACTCCACTTAAAATGAGAACGGAGCTGAATGCTGGATTTTGCACTACTCCGCAACTTCAGTCCAAACCTAACTTATAGAGTTAAATTCAGAAGTTGAAACTCTACCAAATGGGTACTTAGAAACTATTTCTACATGTTTATCATAACACTAATTTTAAATCATTAATAAGATTATTTTAAAATATTTAATTTGTCACCATAATTAATGTATAACCTACTTAAATAGTCCGCTCACTAACCTAAATCAAACCGGACATGGTGGAAGTCAGGTTTACATTTTCATTTGAAAATAAACTGCTTCTGTACTAGTTTTAAGAGAAAAAATAAAGATAAAGACGACTTTCATTCAATATTAAAAAACCAGTTAACATCGACTAAAATAATTTTAGAAACTGGTCGGTTTTGAAAACAAACCAATCACTAAAATAGTTTTACGGCCTCATCTTTTTACTTATGCTTATAAGTTAAAATTTGAATTTTCAACCTTAAATGTAGAATTGATAGGATTTTTTTTTCATCGTAGTTTATTTTTCGGCTAAAGTTTTATTTATAAATTATTTTTCGTTTACTACTGATACGTAGTTTCGAAACGATGGAAGGCCTCATCGGATGGCATATTATATGATATTTATAAATGAAAATCAATTTGTGAATAAAACTTTTATATATGTGTTTTTAGCGATCCAAAAGCAAAGGCTGAAAAATAAATTTCGATGAAAAAACCCAAAATCAGCTCCAAATTTATTGTTGAAAATTTAAATTTTAGCTGATAAGTATATGAATATGACAAACGATGGGGGACCGGAGTCATTAGAGATCGATCGGTAAACCATGGTGGGCCACCACCAGCAATTGTGTGGTGAACCTGACGGCCGCGCCATGCTTGGTCCACTCCCCCCCCCCCCGGGCACGTCATGGTCGTGGTGTGTACTCGTCGTGTCAAAGGACGGTGAGTGTGGAAAACTGGGAATTTTGCTCCGCCTCTTCCCTAGCCTGAGGTGAACATGTTTGGATCTTTGCTACGGAGACGATGGATTGGTCCCTTTCCCCTCCCTATTTTAGCAACGCGATCTTCGCTAGAAATTAACCAAAATCAGGGTGGAGCTTGAACAGTAAAGGAGAGCGTCACTTGTTTATTTTACTTTGCTTTGGATCAAGTTTAGTCTAATACGGATGTTCAAAATAGACTGAGATGTGCATATATGATAAAAATTGATGAGTTATAGCTTAAAAAATCTTTTGGACCAGGTTAATGGCTATCTCCTCTCTCCTGCGTAGCTCTGCCCCTATTAGAATACCAGAATATATCAATCCAGTAATCCAAAAGGCTTTTCTGAAACTCTGGATTTTCTTTATTACATGAGAGCCACTGTTCTTTTTTTCCCCTTTTCACACTTCAGAATTAAACTGGTTCTTGTGGGAAAAAAAATGATGTGAACCTTCATGTTATAAAAAGTCTTTGAGATGGAAATATCTCGATAGGGAAATTGATCATATCAATGCCGTCTCACCACCCAGCCATACATCCAATGGAGCATATCCAAATCTGATAGTAACACAATTTATGAGCCATTTGGTTCCATTATTGCCATGCCGTTGTGAAAATAACGAACATTCTATTCCTTGTCCCACACAACCATCGGTTCGTGATCGGACGGTCTAAAACAAGCGGTACCAATCAGGCGCCATCATTCATACAATCACCTCCGGCCATCACACCAATCTCCCTCTTCATCACATCGGCATAAACATTTTTTTTTTAGAAAAACAGCTTAAATATAACGCTCACAACGCGTATACACTCACATATATAAATACACACACTGAGCACCCTCGCAGGATTCCACGGTCAAATCTTGAGATTGACGAATTCACGACAAACGTCTCATTGTCGACGGGTAAATAATACAAGAAATCTAGCCAGTTGAACTACCCTCCCAAGAGCAACATTTCAACCCAGCCTTAGGCTACGTTGGCTTTTGCATTTTGGCGTGGATTTTCAGCGTACACGAATCAAAGCAAGTTATTAGCATATGATTAATCGAATATGAATTATTGTAAATCAGAAAATAGTTTTTTTAATTTTTAACAAGCCCCTAGTATATATGAAGTATTTGAATATGGCACATTAGTTAGCAAATCGGAAAACATCTTATGGTAAATGATAAGTTACTGTTTAGAACTTAGCCTTAGATTTAATTTGAGGAAGTTTCTAGCCGGTGCAGTTTCTTTCATAATCTTCAATTCTTCTAAACAGTCTACTCCCTCCGTAAAAAAAAAAAAATGGTTCGTTGTACTACTAGATCATCTCATTTTAGATTGGTTTTTTTAACTAGCGGAGTAGGTTCTAGTAAAATTGCTTTCGCCGCAGCTGCTACTACTAGTACATACTGGTCCCCTAAGTCTCATTAAAAAATCAAAAGAATGAGAAGCGAAAAAAGGTGGAAAAGATGAAAAATAATTCAAAGGAGAGGGAGTCAGCAGCCGCAGCCAATCAGCTACGCAGACAGCAAGCAACAGTCCAAGCGAACCTTCCAGCTGCTCACTGACTCCACCCCACCGCCACTGCCCTGTGGGCCCCACCCCCTTTCCCGCGGAAATCTGAGCCTGCCCGGTGGGCCCCACCGCCCACCACCCTTCCCGCCACCACCGGCCACCTTCGCTGCTCCGCCGCGGCTGATCCCGGACATATAGCGACGCCGCAGCGAGAAAAACGAGTTTTTTTTTCTTCTTCTCTCCGTATAAAGTTGATACTAGCTTTTTCTTCTCTCTGCGTTTGCTTTGCTTTGCTTCGTTGCGAGCTATGGTTGGTGGTGGTGGTGGTGTGGTGGTTGTTCGGGCTGTGCTGCTGCTGCTCGCCGCCGTGGCCGCGGCGGAGGCGCTGAGCCTGGACGTCCACCACCGGTACTCGGCGGCGGTGCGCCGGTGGGCGGCCGCCGCCGCGCCGCCACACGGGACGGCCGAGTACTACGCCGCGCTTGCCGGCCACGACGGCCTGCGCCGCCGGTCGCTCGGCGTCGGCGGCGGCGGCGGCGGCGCCGAGTTCGCCTTCGCCGACGGCAACGACACCTACCGCCTCAACGATTTCGGATTGTAAGCTCGCCTCGGATTGAATCTTTGAATTATCTGGTTTTTTTCTCTTGTTTATGGTGGATTGAAGAAGGCAAAGTGGTGGTTGTTGCGGGTGTCCCGGGTTGGTTGCGCAGTTTGCATTACGCGGTGGTGGCGCTGGGGACGCCGAACGTGACGTTCTTGGTGGCGCTCGACACCGGCAGCGACCTCTTCTGGGTGCCATGCGACTGCCTCAAGTGTGCTCCTTTCCAATCCCCCAACTACGGAGTAATCTCCTCCCTCTTCTTCTTTTTCCTCTAGTTTTTGTTGCAATTGGTTTCAAAAGTTTGTTGTTCTGTTAGATATTTTAGGTTGTTAGGATAACTGGATAAGTAGTAGTCTAGTAGAGAAGAGAATTTCACTTTAGGGATTGGGGAAAGTTGTTGTGAATGGCATAATAATAGATTTGTTGCTAAACAAAGATGAAAGTGGTACTAGTAGACTACTAGACTGGTAGAAAAGATTACGACAGGATTATGAGCATGTCTATAAAGAGGAGAAAATCATGAAGGCACTGCATGTGCTTGTGTGCTTCTTGGAAGCCTTTCTATTAGCATGACAGCTTGAACTGGGACCTCGTTCAGCTTAAAGAAAATAGCCGAATCTTGTATTCTTCCGTGCACTCTTGTCAGAATTTTGAAATTTACTCTTGCTTATGGGAAGCTGCTGAATCATGATGACCTTACTGAGTAATCTATTTACATTTGCTGCACATGACAAATTTATACAGAGCTTGAAGTTCGACGTGTATAGCCCTGCGCAATCGACTACTAGCCGGAAGGTCCCGTGCAGTAGCAACTTGTGTGATCTCCAAAATGCCTGCCGTTCTAAGAGTAACAGCTGCCCCTACAGTATCCAGTACTTGTCGGATAACACCTCATCCTCTGGGGTATTAGTGGAGGATGTCTTGTACTTGACATCTGACTCCGCGCAATCGAAAATCGTTACAGCTCCGATAATGTTCGGGTATGTACTATATGATCCACCACATGCTTATGATCGCAGTGTTGTTGTGCTGAATTTTGTGTAAAATGTTCAGCTGTGGACAGGTTCAGACAGGATCGTTTCTAGGCAGTGCTGCGCCAAACGGTCTGCTTGGGCTTGGGATGGACAGCAAATCGGTTCCTAGCTTGCTAGCAAGCAAAGGACTTGCTGCTAATTCTTTCTCCATGTGCTTTGGCGATGACGGTCATGGTAGGATCAATTTTGGGGACACAGGAAGCTCGGATCAGAAGGAAACTCCATTGAATGTTTATAAACAGAAGTACGTTTTGTCAGAACAATATTTCAGGAACAATAAATCTACTGTAACTTAACGTTGGTGTACTCTCTTTTTGCAGTCCATATTACAACATAACTATCACGGGAATTACGGTGGGAAGTAAATCGATCAGCACAGAGTTCAGTGCTATTGTTGACTCTGGCACGTCTTTCACGGCTCTGTCTGATCCAATGTATACTCAAATCACTAGCAGTGTAAGTAGCGTAACCATATTAGCAGACAATTGACCATGCTAGATATTTGATGGTCATTCTTATATTTCTCCCTTCTTATTCAGTTTGATGCACAAATCCGTTCGAGCCGAAACATGCTTGACTCTTCCATGCCGTTTGAATTTTGCTACTCAGTAAGGTAAGTTTTGTAGGAGCAATCCCTGATAGAATGCAGATTGGCACTATGCTTTAACTCATCTCTGTGTTTCTGCACTTTCCAGTGCCAACGGAATTGTTCATCCAAATGTAAGTCTGACAGCAAAAGGTGGAAGCATATTTCCTGTTAACGATCCAATAATTACCATAACGGACAATGCTTTTGTAAGAAATCCTTGATACTCAGCACTTTCTTTAAGCCATGTTAAGTGAGCTTGTTTATTTATCTTTGCTGCTTTTGCTTGTGGCAGAATCCAGTTGGGTACTGCTTGGCTATTATGAAGAGTGAGGGTGTTAACTTAATAGGAGGTAAGCTCCTGTACTTTCACACTCTTTAGCTATTTAAAGATGCCTGGTTCTCTGATAATATTTCAAGTTGCTATGCTTTAGTTTTACTGGATGCTGTGTAGACCAAATAGTAGTTCTGTCTGTAGTGTACAAGTGGGACACTCCTCTAGTTCATCTCTATTCTTCATCTGTAGTTGGTATTAGATGAGTTATGTAATATGAGGTATACGGTGTTGTTTGAATCTATCATATTCATTTTTCGGACTTGCCTCGCTAGCCTATTGTTGATGCAAAAAAATGCCAAATTTCCCTGTTAACACCTATACAACTATACATTGGGTTTTGGTCTCAACATTTATCAAATTCCTGTCTGCTACCTTTTGTTATATATATATATATATATATATATATATATATATATATATATATATATATATATAGTAAATTTGTTTGGTGCTCCATGGTGCCTAAAGAAAATTCCAGCTATTGCCTTGATGTTCAAATTCCCCTTTTCTTTATGATGTACTACTAAATTAATATACATTATTTGGGTCAACAAATGTTTTCTTTTAAATTCTTCACAATATGATAAACGACAATAATCAATATCACTGATTTTTACTCTCTCCCGTTACTTTGGGTGCAGAGAATTTCATGTCTGGACTGAAGGTCGTCTTTGACCGAGAGAGAATGGTGTTGGGCTGGAAAAACTTCAACTGTAAGTACCTCCATATTCCTCAAAACTATTCTTCAGTTTCAACTCATACCTTAGCTAGAACAATGCCCTGAAAAATTGTGTCTGTCATCAGGCTACAACTTCGACGAATCGAGCAGACTTCCGGTGAACCCCAGCCCTTCAGCTGTTCCTTCGAAACCCGGTCTTGGTCCGAGTAGCTACACCCCTGAAGCAGCCAAAGGAGCTTTGCCAAACGGCACCCAGGTCAATGTGATGCCTTCAGCAAGCTCACCGCTGCAACCGCAGAGCGTTTCCGCCACCATTGTTCTCCTATTCCTCATCGTTCTCTGAATTCTGAATTCTGATCAGCTCAGCTCCAGCCACCATAGCTTCAGAGCTCCATTATCCTGTATTGATGATTTGATTACACATAGGATCACATTCTTTTTCTTCCTTGTTTTTGTAGTTGCTGTAGGGCTATAGGAGTTGTAGAGTTGTAGAGAGGATAGATCACACTCACAAGAATCGTCATAGAGAGGCCATTTTTCAGTTGATTTTTTTTACGTGTTCATATGTATAAACCTCATAATAATGCATTCCACTGAGGGTTTGTTTCAGGTGGATTGATGCACATGTATACAGGATTTTGATGTATTGACTCAATAGATTAATGATGATACTGGCCTATATATATAATTGGAGAGAGTGTGCGTTTGAGTTCATCCGTATGTAATTTTAACCTTTCAAGCTTCACATTTTAGATTCTTTTAGGATATGGTTTTACAGGACATAAAATTAAAGTTAAACAGAGCTTGTAAATCCCTCTTGAAACTAGTATTACTGTTTTGACAAGCTTATGCCATTTTCAACCCAATCATGGATGTTATTCCTGTCACGCCTGCACTCTTTTTTTTTCCTACTCTTAGTCTTAGTCTTTGTTTGGCAAGCTGCTGAAGTTTACGATGAAACCTTTATTACTCTAAAAAAAAGGAAAAAAAGGCAGGTTCTCTTGAAATTCTGGAGCAATTGCAGCCCAAACACACATACATCAAGGCCCATCACTCATTCGGCCCAAGCAACTCAAGCCCACAGGCCCACAAACTGTGTCCCGTACGCTTTGCCAAGACCAATCCTGGCCGTTCATCCCGACACCGCCAGCGGAGATCCGGCCGTCGAGAGGGCAACTTCGAGCTCGAGTGGGGGCAGTTTCGTAACTCCACATGCGAAAACCCTAGACGCGCGCGACCGGGTCCCTCGCGCCGAGCCGAGGCGGCGGCCGTATAAAGCTCTCCTCCTCCCCTCCTCCCCCGCCGGTTTCCCTCCTCCACCGCCACCCCCACCGCCGCAGCATCGCCGACGAGCTAGCCCGCCGCCGCTCGAGCGCAAGGTAACCGCTCCCCCTCTCACTGTTTCACCCCCACCCCACGCGCCGCTCTTCGCGTCCTCTCCGGATCTGAGTTGGGTGGGTCGGCATTGTGGTGTGCAGTTGAGGAGAGGAGGGATGGATCGGTACCAGAGGGTGGAGAAGCCGAGGGAGGAGGCGCCCATCAAGGAGAACGAGATCCGCATCACCACGCAGGGGAGGATGCGCAACTACATCACCTACGCGACCACCTTGCTCCAGGTACACCTACGCTTGCAGTTTGAATTTTTCGTTTTAGCGCCAGAATGTTTTTTTGGGTTGGTTTGGTAGGGCTTGTGGATTGGTCGGTGATAACTGTTTCGGGGGGTTTTGTGGTTGTGATTGAAAAGAAAGCTGAATGATTGGGCCGTACGAAATGTTGTAGTACTATGCGCTAAAAGCTTTTGTGTTTTTTAATGCAAATTGAGTGAGATGAGCAGATTATCTTTTCTACTTTATTATGCTTTGTTAGGCTAGGCAGGATTTCCTTTGTGTTCCATTATGGCTTCTATAACTATTGCTACTAGGTAATTGCTGCATGGTTTACAGTATGCTGAATAGTCACGTGATGTAACATCATCGGGCAGTCGCCGCCAATTTCTGTACTATATAGGCGACGGCATTGTGCTTGCTAAAACTCAAAATTAATCTCAGCTGAGTTTCTATTTTGGATAAAATGAAAAGACGTGGCTAGAAAAGTTGTAGTCTTTTTGGTGTGAGTGATCAGTGATGTGCCATGCCATTGTGTGTGTACATCAACCAACGATGGAGGTGTTAAGTTGCCATGCTTTATGTAGATATTTCTACTCCAATCATGTTCCCTTTTTTTTTTTCTGCAATGGCGCTGTCCGCTGTAGTACATGGAGCACTGATGTCTTCATGTAATATGAAATTGATTGTGACTGTAGTACTGTCGCATCCATGTTTCTCTAATTTGTAATTTCTCCTCCTATGTTTCTTTTTGGGCCCCAAGCCCTCAACTACCTTGCAACATGTTTCTTTCTCATAGGAAGTAGCTTCGCGTGCAAAACCCTGCTTTGAGAAGCACTTTGAGATGTTGGATATATTAATTGCTTGACCTATTACATGGGCTTTGGACCTATTCGTCCTGTCTGATATTGCTGAAGCGCTTTCAACATACAAGATATTATATAACATTTTTTTGCATGGTCAAATATAGCATGCCATATTTTGTTTTATATTGAATGTCATGGTTCTGTAGCTAATCCTTTGCATATTTAATTGTTCACAAAAGGATAAAGGTTCCGATGAAGTTGTATTCAAGGCAATGGGGAGGGCAATCAACAAAACTGTGATGATTGCAGAGCTGATCAAGGTACCTATGGTTGCTCCTTGTAAACACTACTTTTGACATTTTTTAAGTGTTGGATTCTCCTTTGTTCTCCAGAGAAGAATTGTTGGTCTCCACCAAAACACCACCACTGGATCTACTGATATCACTGATATGTGGGAGCCACTGGAGGAAGGCTTGCTCCCGTAAGAAGTGACCACTTTCCAATTTCAAGTAGTGCTGTATAGATATTTATTTGGTCTTTTATTTATCCCTTTTCCTCCTCTGCAGACTTGAGACAACAAGGCATGTATCTATGATAACTATTACCCTTTCAAAGAAGGAGCTGGACACATCCTCCATCGGGTATGTATTCTGTTTTTGTTTAACTGTATATGAGTCTTGAGGATTTTTTTTTCTAATATGTTTCTATCATTTATATGCTTTAGTGGATTGTCCGGAGAGTATGTAGACCCTTTTCAATTGGTGCTGTGAAATGATAATGCTGTAGTCTGTTCAATTAGACATTTTACATAACATCAATTTGTGTATGGTTAATATGTGGTAATGTGATCTGTTTTTAGGCACCACTGTAATTGTTACATCTGTATCTATACAATGTGATCAGCTTGCCGTATGAACTTCTAAGATAGCAAAGTAGCAATAAATATGTTAATTATTTATTAATTATTGTATATACAGATATCAATCTCCGTTGCCTGCTGATAAGGTTAAGCCTTTGGTTGAATACGAGAACGAAGAAGGTACTATGATGAATTCACTTGTAATATCTTTAACATCTTATATATTCTTTTTGGCTTAATATTTAATGGTGATTGTAGATGCTCCCTCACCTGCTGGCCGAGGGAGAGGCCGTGGTGGTCAAGGTCGTGGAAGGGGAAGAGGCAGAGGCACACGTGGTGAGGCTAAATGCTGTTAAGTAAATCTTATTCAGAGTATAAAAATGTGCAGCTTTTCCTTACATACTGATTTCAGGAAATGGTTACATGGACTATGCTGATGGTGGATGGGAGGATGACCATGCTCCTCCTGCATATGCGGGCAACGGGTACACCCGTGGAAGAGGGCGTGGTTTTAGGGGCCGTGGCAGGAGAGGTGGCGGCTATGGAGCACAACCTGATTATCAGCAAGATGGAGGATACTATGATGAGGCACCAGTTCACGCGCCGCCCCGAGGTGGTTACATGATATGTTAATCTGCCCATCTATCAATGACCTTGTACATAACGTGATACGTTAATCTGCTGCATCTCCTATATTATGAAGCAGGCCGTGGTCGTGGTCGAGGCCGTGGGAGAGGCCCGGTCCGAGGTAGAGGACGCGGTGGCAACGTCAATGGCGTTATGCATGCTACTGCAGTTGGCGCCTAAGCTGGCTGCTGCTATTCCAAAGCTGTTGTTTGTTGGATGCCTGCTCCAAGTATGAAGATGTATCATCTGTGTTGTTTATGGGTTAACACCATACTCTGTATAAGCTTGACATTCTGTTAGAATGCTGCCGGATTTTGATTTTTAACTAGGTTTGTAGGATAGTCTCTATAATGTTTGTTTTTCTTCCAGTAGTAGTTGCAAACTAATTGTAGTGTTCAGTTGGTAAAGGTTTAGAGCAGTGCATTCTTTCAATTTTTATATAAACCGAAATCCTGTTGCCATCTTATAATGTGCCAGCTTCAAATAGTGAACGCGCAAATGCAGTTGGATTTTCACTTTTTTTTTCAGTCGGGACTCGGGAGCAAATGCAAAAACCTGAAGAAAAATGTTATTTCCCAAGTTCTAGTCTCATTTGCAATGGAGGATTTCTCCGTCAATTCAAATGATCGAGCGCTACGGTACAAGAACTTTCTAAACTGTAATAATCACTAATCAGTTCAGTCTCAGATGGTGCGACGCTAACAGTAAGAGGCAGAGCCTGTTTGGCAGGCTGCACGATAACTTCTCTCCAGACCGATTTAAACTACATAACTTTATTTCAAACTTGATCTGCCATAGTTCTATCTCTCCTGAACCTCAACCAAACGGTTTCAGCTATACAAACGGTTTCAGCTATACTTTAGTTGGTGAGCTCTCACAAAATAAACTGAACTGGATTTAGTTAGATCCACAACTTTTTAAATTAAATATGTAAGTTGGAAACCTAACGAATGGGTCTCAGCTCTTGAAGTCAAGCTTCACTTCAAAGCCAGCTCTTCAAGTTAAATTTAGACGTTGAAACCCTGTTAAACATGTCCTAAAAGTACAACGATTTTATAATTTTATTGTCAATGTGTAATACAATTCAACAACAAAACTAATAGAAGACTAAGGATTTGCCACTCAAATAGCTAAAAGCTAAGATTTTTGGCACTCATATACTTATAACATACAAGGTTATTATTATCAATAGTTCGACTTATAATAATATACATAATATTATGTGTATTGGGTTACTGATGATATTGACAATGGGTCTATTCCGTTCAGCTGGGCTGTGGTTGTACAGCCACAGCACTGCAGCCCTCCTAGCATAAATTGCTTACCGAATCCTATAGAAGCAATGCTGCTATTGTCACAGCCAGCTATTCCGAACGCACCCAATATCTTAAATATAATAGGCACATAAAGTGGTTTAACCATTATAGCTCATGAAAGACGAACGGGACTTTGGTTCGGTAGCAACAACGTTAGCATCAATATATGGGGATTGTATAAAAAAATCACTCATGCCCACCCCTCTTTGTGCAAACAAAATTTTATAGGCCATGTGCACCAAATATTTGCGCTTAATCGGCTGAGTTTGATTTCTATTTTTTCTAATACATGCATCTATCGACTATCATAATGTGCTAGTTAGATTTTTGTCGTAAGGTTTTATTTATCCTCGCACCGAGAACGCTCTAAAAGGGATGGCTGGCCAAGTCCTGAAAATTTTTCAAAACTCACGTGGGTATTCAAATTCGAACTATATACATCATATGTAAACAGAAAGGGATTTTGCACGAAACGAAACGAAACGAAAGGAATTTTGCACAAAACGGCTGAACTTCTCGCGAGAGGCAGTGAACCGGAATAGGCCACACTTGTCGCGATATTATCCTTTGCTCTTCTCTTCTTCTCTTCCCCCGCACGCATCGCACCCGACCTCGTCGCCGTCGCCGACGCCGCCAGCCATGCCGGAGGACGTCGAGATGAACGACTCCCAGCCCCAGCCCGCCGCCGCGCCACCGCCCGCGGCCTCCACCTTGCAGCGTAAGTAGCCGGACCTCCTCTCGGGCTCCACAAAACCCTAGCTTAGCTTTCGGCGGGGGAGAGAGAGAGTAACTGAGTTTTTTTTTTTGTTTGGTTTGGTTTGTTTGGGTTTGCGCGGCGGTGCGTGCAGATCTGAAGGAGATCGCGTCGGTGATCGAGGCCGGGTCGCTGACCAAGGAGGTTCGCCGGATCTCCCGCGCCGTGCGCCTCACCGTCGCGCTCCGCCGCCGCCTCGCCGCCCGTGACGTCGCCGCCTTCCTCGCCTTCGCGCTGCCGCATTCCTCGGAAGCCTTCGCCCGCCTTTCCTCCCTCCTGCCCAAGGTAATTTCTACACTGAATCGGAGGAATTCGGTGGGTGAACTTAGTTGCTACTTACTAGATGGGTGATGGGGAATAAATGACTGGCGATGCTTGCATCTTAGGATTATGAAACTGAGAAAAAAAAGGGGGGGGGGGGGATTTTCGGGATGCTTGGCTGCTTATTTCATCGCTGATGTGATGGCACAGTAGAGTTCTGTATATTAGAGCTGTTTACTGTTTAGAAGATAGCCGTTTGACTCGAAAAATATAGCAACATTGATCTTTTGAATTTGGAGGCAGATGAAAATAATTTAGATGTCACATGTGATGTTTTTGTTTCATCGGCTTGGCTTGTTAAACACATGGTAGATCATTCAGAATTTTTTATCTCTTTGGAAGAAAGGGGAACTCAGAATCAGTCTTCTAAAAGTCGGCGCTAGGTAGCAGGTAGCCTCTGTGATTAGGCGTTAGATGGTGGCTGAACTTGCTTGGTGGGTATTTTGTTGCTATTTTAGTGTTGTATAGTCTAATTTTCATGTGTGCTTGCCAATTTCTTGGATTTGACTAGCTGGTCTGATCCAGGCAGGGCCTAGGCACCAATTAGGCGCTAGGTGCCACCAGCTAGCGCCTAGCGCCTTCTTGAATGCTCTGAAGAGATCATTGTTATGAAGAAACTGTAGTTGTATTTGTGATCCAGTGATTTGTTTAAATCATTTTGTTGCGCTACTACTTCCACTGTTGAAGAGATAGGTTTCTTGTGCTCTGATGCTTGATAGCCTCCGGTTCGGTCTTTAGGAGCTGTAGTTTGTTTCACTTCTACCGTATATATCTTAATTTTTTTGAAACTGATGTCTCTATTTTTTTTTATATATTCTTAACATTCATATAATGCTGATTTTTTAGGAAGATGGGAGTGAAATGGATGTTGATTTGGCAGCTCCAGCGGCTCAAGTGTCAATTAAGCATGGTCTCCCAGAGATTGAAATATACTGTTACTTGCTTGTGCTGATTTTCCTTATTGATAATAAGAAATATGATGAGGTATGACTGAGATTTGCCTCCTTTTTTTTTTTGTTCTAGGTGATAACTTACTAATCTGATGCTTTTTGTTCAGGCTAAAGCATGTGCTTCTGCAAGCATTACTCGTTTGAAGAATCTTAACAGGAGAACAGTCGATGTTTTAGCTTCTAGGGTTTTCACCTATTACTCTTATGTCCACGAACTCACCAGCAGCCTTGCTGAAATTCGTGGGTGAGTTCATTGAATCATGGCTCTCAATCTGTGGTATTAGGAATGCCTTCTTCAGTTGTGTTATTACTTTTCAGTAATTCCTAGGTACCTAATAAGCTCTTCTTTTCTTCTGTTTTGATTTACTTGTTACATGCTGTGTTTTTTCAGAACTCTTCTGGCATTGCACAGAATGGCAACTTTACATCGTGATGAGCTTGGTCAGGTTGTGTCCATGCCTACTTTCACTTTAATGATTACATAAGCGTTGTCAAACTACAGAAAATGACTAATATTTTATATGGCAGGAAACTCTACTCAACCTGCTTCTTCGCAACTACCTGCACTACAACTTGTATGACCAAGCAGAAAAGCTTAGGTCCAAGGCACCGCGTTTTGAAGCACATTCTAATCAGCAGGTAATTCATCAACTAGCTCACTTGTTAATTCATTTGATAAATTGTACTGAGGCTGATTATCAATTTAATGATTACTGAACGGTGAAATTGCATTATGCCATCTTATTATGTAGTCAAACAAGTGCTAACTTCTATTGCTATCGCAGTTCTGCAGGTATCTGTTCTACTTGGGAAAAATTAGGACAATTCAGTTGGAGTACACTGATGCAAAGGAAAGCCTACTGCAAGCTGCTCGAAAGGCACCCACTACAGCTCGTGGGTTCCGAGTTCAGTGCAACAAGTGGGCTATCATAGTGAGATTACTTTTAGGAGAAATACCAGAGAGAACTGTTTTTATGCAGAAAGGAATGAAGGCTGCTTTGGCACCATATTTTGAGCTTACAAATGTAAGTTCTACTTCTGTGGAAAAATACAACATACTGCTAAGCAGTACAGTTTTAACTGTTTCTTTTTATGTATGATCTACAGGCTGTTCGAGTTGGGGACCTTGAATTGTTCAGAGCAGTGGCAGAAAAATTTGCTAGCACTTTCAGCGCGGATAGGACGCGCAATTTGATAGTGAGGCTGCGCCACAATGTCATTCGGACTGGATTGCGCAACATAAGCATTTCATACTCACGGATCTCCCTTGCTGACATTGCCAAGAAGCTGAGGTTGGACTCAGAGAACCCTGTTGCTGATGCTGAAAGTATTGTAGCCAAAGCAATCAGGGATGGGGCAATTGATGCCACCATTGATCATGCCAATGGTTGGATGGTGTCAAAAGAGACTGGTGATGTCTACTCAACGAATGAGCCACAGATTGCTTTCAATTCAAGGATTGCATTTTGCTTGAACATGCACAACGAAGCGGTCAAAGCACTGAGGTTCCCTCCGAATTCTCACAAGGAAAAGGAGAGTGCTGAGAAGAGGCGCGAGAGGCTCCAACAGGAGGAAGAACTAGCAAAACACATGGCTGAGGAGGACGATGACGACTTTTAGATTGGTGATTTCTTTTCATGCTTTCAGTTGCTGCCTCAAGGGTTTCATTTTGAAGCATGGGCATCCATTCAGTTTTAAGAGACGGAAGATCTCGAAATGCCAACCCTGCTTTTCTGGGATAGTTGAAACCATGGAACCGTTGACATTTAATTCAGTGTGTTTTATGTTTTTAACAATTTTTTTATCACTCAAACCGCTTAGAAGGCAATGTATTCTTTCCTGAAATACTGTACCGTTCAATCCTTGGGGCACAATGTTTTGAACATGACAAGTTCAGTTCGCTCTCATTTGTTCGTAAATGGCATTTGCGCCCGTGTGACTTTCATTCGATCCACTGCCTTTCTGCCTACATTTGGTCTTTGTGTTGTCCAATAGTAGAATGAACTAATAAGAAATGACCCCAACATGGGGATGTAGCTCAGATGGTAGAGCGCTCGCTTAGCATGCGAGAGGTACGGGGATCGATACCCCGCATCTCCATTTAACCTTTTTTTTCTGGTTTGCCAGAATCAACTAATTCCAATCTTCTGGTGTATCTTGGATTCTTGACAAGTTCAGATAGCCATGGATTCAGTAAATGACAACCCTTTACCTTTTAAGGGAATCTAAAAACCTGAAACATGTTTTTATTGATATTCACATAATCAAAATTATGGAATCCAACAGAAAATCATTCAGAAGGTACATCCATAAAATGACCCAGAAGACATCTGTAGAAATTACATCTGGAAAGAGGTGAAACAGATTATTTGCCTTCCATTCAAGTCATGACAGGTGAAAGAAAAGCTCTAAGGTCATTTCAGAGCGGGAGCAGTAAAACGGGGCACGGGATGAATTCAGCCAGCAAATTCCCATCAACGTGCTTGGAATGTATTGCTTCCATGCTTAGGACAACCAGGTCTAACTCCAACTCATCCGCGACTTCTCCAATGATAGCCGTCGGTTTCTTCCCTTCCCCAAGGCGCTCCATCAACCCAAACTCCGTAAATCCACCTGCAGATATACAGAAGCATGGCCATCATGCATGATAACGAAAAAAAAATAGCATAGAAAAAATAAACCAAACATCTATATGAGTGAAGTAGTGATGCTGCTAACCTTCTGAGAGATGCCATCTAATGCTTGACATCTGAGTATCATGCTCTGGGAACTCTTCCTTGGGCTTATCATCAATCACTGAAATGAAGATTATAATCACAACATTGTAGTTTTACGCTTTGAAGGAAGTGAAAGAATGTGCACTGCCAGAACCACAGAGAGCAATTTTGGATCATACCAACTACAGTTATGTTTGCTCCATACTTCTTTGCTAGAGAAGCGGATGTTGCTGCAGCCTGATATATCATGCAAGTGTTACATGTGAGCCACTTTTACTGGTTATGGTCCAGTTATCAATCAGACGGTTGTGCTCCATAAAGGAAAAAAAAAACAGCAAAATTATCTGTTACTAATACCGTACCCCTATAGTTTGTAAATTTACAGAACCAAACCATATGATTTATATGCTTCTCAAGCAATGAATCAAAAACAAAATATAACAAGGAGAAATGTTTGAAGAAGAAACCAGACCTGTCTAGTGCCCTCTGAGAGGTAAGGGTTGCGGTCGGTGACAGGAAGTAGAACATGCTTGACTTGGGCGAAGGCGTCAGCAGCCAAAGCACTTCCAGATTCATTCACTTCGGCTCTAACTAATGTCCAAACAGAGAAACATTAAACGGTATGCCTTCAGCTTGACCACAATCTAACATAAACAGAAAAATAGTGTTCTTGAATCCTCTATGAACTATGGGTGCTTCTAGCTTGCAATTTGGCCAGGAATCACAACATTTCTCCCTGGCCCTCGCCTAATCCCAAGAAAACAGGTTAAACAATGTAATATTAACCGCATCAACATCTCTAGCTTTCTAGTGCCCACATTGTCAGGAACCAGGGGAATTGCTCGTGTTGAAACTAATTCAGACTGAAAAAAGCAGTCAGGCACGACCTGAATTCATACTCCATCTGTACTACATTCAAGTTCAAACTAAACTAAAAGGAACAATTTTTGAGAAGTACAGAGGGGTAATAATTCATTCATCCATCCATCCCAAGCTCGTGCGACCTACACACCATCTACAGATGCGTAATACACTGCTCCGGCGCCATTTCCACTGCACACAAGCTCGCTTCACTCACGGAATCCGACATGGCCGAGCGAGCGAGAAGCTACATACCTCCAATCCGGGCTCCCCGGCGCCGCGTGGCGGCGAGGGAGACGGCGCCCCTCTTGGCCTGGGGCGGGAGGAAGGAGGCGAGCTCCGGGGCGACGCTGGCCGGCGGCGCCGGGAGGAGCGAGCTGGCGAAGGCCATAGCGCGGGGGAATCCGGGGGCCTGGATTCGTCGGCGGGGAGAGGAGCGACGCGGCGGCGAGGGTTGGTTCTGGAATGGCGTGGAGAGGAGAGGAGAGGAGAGTGGAAGGCTCTCGCTGTCGCTCGTCGGAGGAAGAGGAGACGGCGACTTTGGGGGTGAGATGGATGGATAAGTTTTCAACTTTTCCTTTTCTTTTTTATGAAATCCTTGCTTATGTTCATGACATTTTTTTTCTTTTTGTGTAGATAGTGTGGAGCGTTTGGCTTGTAGTATTATTATACGGACTAATTTTATTTCTTATAAGTCTTGCAATTTTTCTAACTATGGTAAAAAAGAATATATCATACATCCAACTTATTAAAGGGTTGCGAAGTGAACGCATCTTAATTGGTTAGGTTAGTCCTCATAGGGTGGTAGGTCCAGTCTTCTGATAGAGGTAAGTGTGCTTATGTTTGTATTGTATTCTTTTTTTTTAAAAAAAAATCTTGGTAAGTGCTTCCAAAAAAATAACTAGTAGTGGTACCACCTTGAACACATGAGTTTTATAATAAAAATCTCAGGATGTATTAATATTCCTTCACACATAAGTTTAGATATTTAATAATTATATAATTTTGTGACCGTCTCTTCTTCTCCCATTGCTAAAAAACACTTTTGTATATCTCTTTAATAGGTAAATTGATTATAGACCTGTAAATAATATTTATACTATAATATAGTGTTGTAACATGTAGAGTATTGTATTTTGATCAATGTCAATTGTGCTTTTAAAACTCTACTTTGACAAACTGATTACTACCTCTTGTCTACAATAGATTTTACACCGAATTTTTTCTAAGCACATGCAACTCTGAAATTTCAAATCTAAGCACACCATGTTAGGAATTCTATTTGTAACCAACATGCCCAAGTGATCAGTCAATCTGGTTGATCTAATGCCTAACAAAATAAATGTACTGGTTGCTTAACTAATGTCAAAGACATTAGTGTACGCTAGTATTGAAAATTGAATAGTATTATTTTTTTTCCTCTTGGGCGTGTTAGATAGTGCTTGCTCCTAGCGTTTTCAATCAACCCCTTTCTTGTGAAGGTGAAGCTGATGCACCACTGCTATAGAAAGCAAATAAAGACTATTACTATAAATTAAGATTTTGACTATTCTAGCGGATGAATTAGATTTGAATTATAGAGAAATCTCACCATTTATATACTATTTCAATTTTTAGAATGAAATCCAATATGAAGTCAAGCAATACTGCTTTCTAGGATAGGGCAGAGGACAGCATGTTCGAGAAGAAGAAAATTCGAGGTTTGATTCCTGAAAAATTGCACCTGAAACCCCTTTTAAAGCTGAACCCATAAATTCAGTACAATTCAGTCTATAGAAAAAGAGAATAGAAATTCATATGGAAAGTGTATTTTCTTACTCCTATACGGACACTGTCCCGTGGGCCCGACTGTTTGCCCGGTTTCCCAAGAAAATAGTCAAAAGAAAAGCCTCGCGGTCGCGGGTCCGCTTCGCTGATCGGATCCAATCCGCCAACCCACTCTCGACTCGACTCCACTCCGTGTGCGCCGCCGCCGCCGCTGATCCGAGCCACCCCAAAACCCTAGCCGCCGCCGCCGCCGTAAATCCGAAACCCGCCTCGCCGGCAGCGGCCATGACGTTCGCCGCGCGCATGAAGGAGCTCATGAGGAAGTACGGCAAGGTGGCCATCGGCGTCCACCTCTCCGTCTCCTGCGCCTCCATCACCGGCCTCTACGTCGCCATCGACAACAACGTCGACGTCGACGCCATCTTCCGCAGGATCGGCATCTCCCCCAGCGGCGGCGTCGCCGGCGACGAGGCCGCCGAGACCCCCACCCCTTCCGCCGCCGTCCCCGAGGAGGCGCCGCCGCGCAACCGGACGCGGGAGCTCGTGGCGTCCAGCGGCGGCGCGCTCGCCCTCGCCCTCATGTGCAACAAGGCGCTGCTTCCCGTCAGGGTCCCCGTCACCCTCGCGCTCACGCCGCCCGTCGCCAGGTTCCTCGCGCGCTGGAAGCTCGTCAAGACCTGAGCTCGTGAGCCATTTTTTCTCCCATCTCTAAAAAAAGAATTCTGCCATCTCCCCCATCATCTGCAAGTTTCAGTGTCGCCTGATAGGAACGGAAATTCGATTGCAACCTATGATCTAACTCTGTATGCTAGTTCAATCATGCTAGTCTCTGTGGATTTAAGCTCGTTCTATCATCAATGTTACAATTGAAAACTTTGCAGTACAAGCAAATTTGGAAGCCATTTTCTTTTGTTAGAAAGATGATTCTTTGTTATATTGTCATGTGTTCTTCCCTTTTGGGTGGTACTGGTACCAATGCTCTAGTTGTATAGAAAATTTCCCCCTTTTTCCTTATAGAGTTTTGTACATTAGAACCGAAACTATTTCCTTTATGCTCAGCTTATGACTTTGAAAGAATAGTTCTAAGACGAAGGCTTTGCTGAGAGATGTCAATCAGCATTTGCACTTGCATCAACCTTAACCTTGTGCATCAGATTTTACCCTGTGTGATCGGCAGATATAGGCTAAATCAATCTGTTTTAGTAAATGATGTCAATGTTGTTTTGAATCAAAGGTTGATATGAAATTATTGTATGGCTGCCCCTTGCCCATTGAAATAGCCTAGCAGGGTGTGATAGAGTGGACCATGTTGACTTAAAGAAATCCCAAGGATCTGTTTTGGATGGGAACTTTTGTGGGGATTCCTAAATCCCCCAAATCCTCAGTTGTCGAAACAGCCTATATATTTGTATGCGTGAGCATTAGTATCAGATAAGTGCTAAAATTGCCTTCCTGGGTTGCTCAACTCCAAGTTTTCATGTTATATACTTGAAGGAGTGCCCAAGCTGTTCCATGTAGTTTTTTGGACAAAATATTCTTTATGATATATTTGTTTATTCTGGTCATACTCAAATGCAAAAAATGTACTATATATTTTCTATTTTGAAAACAGCTATTCTGCACATTCTAGTTAGCCAAATGCAGTACTTTATACATGGCTTTTAGCTTTCTTTTGCCCTTGACGTGTTCAGTTGTCAAATTTAGCTTGAGTACCTTGTGGAAATCTGTGCTACATGATGCAGTGAATTCCATATTTGATCTTTGAACTCATTGCATTTCTTGTGTCCCAATCTGGGATGGACTTGATCTGACTTCTGAACATGTTTTCAGGTGTTCCCTGTTCTGGGAGAACGATGCATATTCACCATCCAGGACAGCCTGCAGTGAATGCAACGCTGTAAATTACTCCATGCTGCAGTTTGGTGCCGTCTGATTAATCTGCGTACCAGTTTAATGATGAATGCCCTTGCCACAACAAAGTTTTACACTTGAACTCGCGATATGCTTGTAACTTGGTTTGGTATTCCATTCTCTAATTTTTTTTGTAACATCGACCCCCCCAAAAAAAGGTTGAGACCAAAATAAGCACTACGACTAATGCAAGAAGATCATTTATTCGTTGAAGTCTTCAAAAGTGTTGATCATCGTTTGCTCTTGCTTTTGTGAATTGATGAGAATGGAGTTAATATTCAAATCTGACTTCAAAGTTTACGATGGAAGGCGGAGGAAGTATGTTACTCTCTCCATCCCAAAATATAAGAATCTGGAACATTTTCTAATACTACGAATCTAGATAGGTTGTCCAGATTCGTATCGTAGTACTATTCGGTTTTAGGTTTTGTTCTATTCGGTTCTAGGTTCTGTTCTATTCGGTTCTAGGTTATCATATTTTGGGATGTCTTATCCGGTTCTACTTTCTAATGTTCTATCTGGTTATAGTGGACGGATGATTATATGTGAAAGTGTGGTATGTGTTTCACACGTGTGCATCTTTCGTGTAATTGAAGAACTTAATATTTTAAGATAAGAAAACTTAATATTTTGAGTAAAAAAAATTGCCTGGGTGAATTGTGGGGTTGCATCAAGATTGGTGCGAGCCGGTAGATTTGTACGCGTGCGCGGCCCAGCGGCCCAACTACCGACCTCACTTCCACGCCCACCGTCGTCGACTCGTCGTCGCGCGAATTCCGCGGGAACAACGCGCCGCCGTCCGCCGTCCGCCGGCCGCCGTCTCCAGCCACAGATCGCCCCTCCACCCTGGCAGGAAACATGATCGTCTGCGTCGCCGTCGTCGGCCATCAGGTCAGGAAACCCACCTGGCATCTCTCCTTCCCTCCCCCGTGCTGGATCCCCGCGATCCGATCTCGTGACTTCGCCGTCGCCGGCGCCGGCCTGGACTAATTATTTTTCCCCTTGCGCTGCTGCTGCAGAACAACCCTCTGTACCTGCAGAGCTTCACGGAGGCGGACGACGCCCTCAAGCTCCACCACGTCGTGCACTGCTCCCTCGACGTCATCGACGAGCGAGGTATGGGCGCCCCGATCCAGATCTGCGTGTTTCTCTTTTTCTGTCAGGTGTGCTGGAAATGGCTCAAATCAGATTCGCCTCAGGTTCACTGCTGTAAGGTAGTAGTAGAGAAGAAGCTGCATCACGATCCGTAGTCTAAGTTTGTAACTTGAAGATTGGTTAAACTGAGTGTCAGACTAGACATGGTGAATCTGAGGAATTAACTTCAGATTCTAGTGGCGTATGATGATGAATCTGAGGAATTGAGGTTATACCTTCGGAGTCGGCTCTGTTGCTTGACATTTGTGAGCCTTTGCATATGCTTTGAACTATAGCGCGCAGGAGTATCCTATGAGTGTAACCGAGAAGAGTGATAGTTTACAAGCTTCTCAGCAGAGTTAATTTACGAATGTATTATTACAAGAGCTTTTCTGACATCATTCGCAGTCAAGAAAATCCCTCTTCATCTTTTTTGTTATTCATTCCTTTGACAGTGAACAATCCTAAAAGGAATGCGCCTGCACTTAACGAGACATTTTTGGGTCTTCTATATCCGACCGAGAATTACAAAGTGTAAGCCCCTATCCGCATCTATGTTTTTCATTATAACCGTTTGTCCTCCTTTGTTGCCTGTCTGCATCCACTTGCTAGTGAAGATTATCAGTTTTGCATTAAGAACTGAAGACAAAGAGATTATAATATGTTTTACTAACTGACAAACAATACAACAATTATAAAATTGGTTCTGACAGGTGATAGCTGCTTTCGATATATTCATGGTACCTCATTGACATGTTATTATTGATTCTAAAGCACTTCATCCAGTTCTTTATATTCTGCTGTTGATTGCAGGATTGCTAACAAACTGATAAACTATGACAATTTATTATGTGCAGGTATGGCTATTTGACTAACACGAAGGTCAAATTTATCATGGTCACAACTGATCTTGATGTCAAAGATGCAGATGCCAGAAATGTAAGCTATTTAAACCGTTTAATTTTGTGGTTTTAAAATTGCTTTGTGGAGAGCAGGTACTGAGATAGTTTATTAAATATGGCAGATCTTTGTAAGAATGCTCTGAAAAAAAAGCTTACTGGTCATGCTTACTCATGCAATTTAATGTAGAAATAGTCTGGTTTATCCTTCCATCTTTTAATAAGGATGGTATTGAACTCCGGATGATACGTTCTATGTGACACATCTCCTAGATGCACCGTAATAATGGTACAACCGTTTGCGTATGTGCACATTAATCTCCTATGGAGAAAAAAAAAAGAATTCCATCTCATTTCCATTTCCATTTTCTCAGTTTTTCAGGAAGTTCCATGCTGCATATGTAGACGCTGTTTCGAACCCCTTTCACGTTCCAGGGAAGAAGATTGCGTCAAGAAGCTTTGGTGCAAGAGTAAGCACAATTGTGAAATCCTTCGGTTCAGGGACAACTGCCTGAGTTCCACTTGTTCCAAATCCCCCCTTCAATCAAGCATTGTACCGTTCCCCTTTGTTGACAATTCATTTCTGAATCTCCATATTGTCCCCTGTATGCATGCTGAACAAGATGATAATTTGGCAATGAAAACAAAAAAGAAAAAGAAAATATGGTCTCGTTCAAAGATTGTTTGCCCCTTTTCTCCATTCAGTGCTCCTATTCTTCATCCTGTGATGTTTACTTCCTTTGTCTTTATGCATGGGCTGTCTCCTCTCTCCTGCCGCTCCTATTTCCTCTTAGCTGCAGTCAGTAATGACTCTTTTCAATGTATGGGTGACCTGACATTTCATCAGAAGTACAGCAAGCTTTTCCTGCATATGCATGATCAAGCATATACATAAATTTTCCTTCCATCAGTTAGACAAGTAAGAAGTACAGCAAACTTTTCCTGCATATGCATGATCAAGCATATACATAAATTTTCCTTCCATCAGTAAGAATCTCCCATAATCCAGGATCCAGTGATCCACTAGTTCTTCTCTTCAATAATTTTTTTTTAAAGTTTATGTTAGATTAGACTTGGCCTGATCCTCATCAAATTAATCAGTCCAAACTTGAATTTTAAAACTTCGTTTTAAAGTTTATTTTGAAGGTTGTTCATTGAGTTTACTTTTCAGCATTAACTGTTAAATCGCTAAGAACAGTCTTGCATATAAATTACTTTTATAAAATAAGCCGTACGGCTTATAATCAACATTAGATCAATCGATGGCAGCAGAACACGGCATGACCTACACAGTATATCAACATCGCTGCTGATGATATCTGAAAGCATGAACATCTCTGTTGATTTATCACTATCGAGTTGTGGCCACATGCTGCTTCACTGCCCTGGGGAACAGATTGCCATCTGAAATGCCTTTGTACAACAGTTGTACTGGCAATATAATGCTCTGCAGCTGGGGCCCGACCTTCAGCCAGCTCCAGTTATGCCGATAGGGAGATGAGCTCTTACTTTACCGTCTACAGTACACAAACGCGGCAAAATCGTCCGGTTCCTACTCTCTCTGTTCTTTGTTCTCCAATAATTGTTAATTATTCTTGTAATCTCATATGACCGTAAGTTACTTTAGATTTCGACGAATAAAATTTATATGGTTATATTTATGACGCTGCACACAACTAATGCAAGAAGAAATGATCAAAGTATAAAATTTAATAGTGCAAGTGTTCATTGTTGTAAAACTTGATAGATAGTTGAGTCCAACAACAACTCTATCTCTTTGTTTGGGTCTATTTTGGGAAGCTTAAGATTCTGATAAACACCTGGTTGGTAAGTGGTAGTAAGTTTCTGAGAATCAGAAAAAACTCGGTTTCCCAGCTTCTAACTTCTAGTTTATTTTCTAGATTCTACAACTACAGCTTATCAGAATTTGGACCAAAAGCTGAACTATTTGAGGGAGCTTCTGATCTTGGAAGAAGTTGCAGCTCCTAAAAACTCCCTTAAACATACCCAATTATCTTCTTGCCCTTTCGTTTTTTTAACTCCTTCACTTATTGATAAATATCAGCAGCCCTCTGGCTTACCAATACTTAAAAAAACCAATCAATCGTTTCAGCATTTGAAAAAAAAACTCGCCATGATCTAAAAAGGCATCAAGAAAACTCGCAACGAAGCAACAAAACCTGCTTTAAGTGCTCAGCCGAATGCTAGCTAGCCAGGAGGAAATATTTTTTGCTAGATAGCCTGCAGTTTCTGAGGTGTTTGGTAGATTGTCTCAACCTGTCCAAGCACAAAGAAAGCTAGCTACTCCATTTCTCATCCTGCTGGAATACAGCTTTGTGTCCTTAGCACAAAGCAAACTAAACTAATGGCTTGACTGTCAAGTGTTAGCACCAGAAAATGCTAAGTACCTCAACGAATTTTCCAAAGCCATCCCTTTTCTTTCCTAAGCTCCTGTATATATGTATTTGAACTTCTTTTTTCCCATGTTACTACTAGATAACAGAAACAATATAAGGAAAACAAGATCAAGTTATATAATGTACCACTCGGAATACCGATTAGTTAATTGCGCTATATTAAGCTAGCTAATTAGCAATGGCATGGCAATGACTGCACAAAACTCATGCATGCTTGACTGATCTCATTGATCAATCATACGAGGAAAACAAAATTGGGGAGGAAAAAAAAAAGGCAAGGCTAGTTAGCATACTAGGAAATTGGCACCAAAGTAAAATCATAAGCTAGTAATATATAGTCCATCCAATCCCTTTTCACACTACAATCCATGCAGATCTAGACCAATTTTTATATAAGGATCTTCGTCTCCCATCCAATCCTTTTTCCTACTCCAATCCATGCAGAGAATTTGCCATAACCACATAACAATTAAACCTGCAAACATGATTAACAACGAGCAAAGCAAAATATCTCCAAGTACTATTGTTGCGAAGCAAAATTATTTCCTTTGATCTGGCTCAAGATCACGACTAGCTAAATCTCCTAGCGAGATAGAATATGTGAGCAAAGCGAGATAGAATATGTGAGCAAAAGCACACATTCACACCCTGCTCAAGATCATGACTAGATAGATCTCCTAGTGAGATCTCTTGTTACCCTGGCTACTTCTTCATTGGTTGTGTCACCTGATAGATCTCAAATATGTAGCGGTAGAGCCGCGTCCTCCGCGGAATCCCAGGCACCTCCTGGGAATCATCTTCTAGCTCCTCATCGCTGAGGTAATCCTCGGAAGGACGGGGCATGACCTGCGCTATCACAGGTGGGGCGTTTACAGAGGAGCCCGAGGATGCAAAGATGGCAGATCGGGAGCCACCAGAGGACGACTTGTTGCTCCCGCTCAAGAGAACAAGTCGCTTGGCCGCGAAGAGCTCACACGCCGTGAAGGCCCCTACCACAGCCGGCGCCGGCGCCGGCGCTGGTGTCTCCAACATCTTCGTCGACGCCTTCGGCTGCTTCTTCCTTTGCGCCTTTGTCTTCTTCATTGGCACCTTCGGCTTCTTCTTTCCCATCGCCTTCATCTTCCTCTTCACCATCGCCTTCATCTTCCTCCTCGCCATCGCCCACAAATCCCGCTCCCTAGGGTTTTCCCCGGGTTGATGTCGACGTGACGATGGGTGATTTAAATTTCCCCTCTTCTCTATTTCTTTTGGGTGTGTTTGGTTGGTGTGAGCCTTTAAGGGGGATTTAGAGATCGAAAAGATGAGGCTATTAACTGCCCTCCTCCTCCCCCCCCCCCAACACACACAAACCCCCACCCGACCCACCCCCTCCCCCTGCGCGTAGACAAATATCAACTATCCAAATCTAATCTCTATCTTAACTTTCTACTAATTCACACCACTTCTACCGAACCAAGGAACCGGGACTAAATAGCAAATTTTCATGCTAATTTAACCCTTAATTTCTCATATAAACTTCCAATCCACTTCCCAATAGTTTGTATTTTTTTCTCTGAGCAAGTACAATGGCATGGTTTTACACCAGCCGCTATATATGCTCGTACTTGCTTTGCATAGAGATATCCTAGTGAAGAAAAATGTTTGTGAAAGTTTGCTAGTAATGGCTAGAGATATCGTAACCGAAAGCTTTGAAATGTTTCTAAAACAAATTAGACGACATAGAATGGTTGTTGTGGTCCAGTCATCATAGTCATACATGTTTACTAGTTTTCAACGCTTATACGTTATGTCAACTATAGGTGTGTCGATAAAGAAGTACCAAATGTTTACATGTTCACACACACACACACACACACACACACACAAAAACACAAACACACACACACACACCCCTACATATATACCAACTAATGTACTCTTGGTACATACCAAGCCATCGTATGCTCAACTATTTTATGAAGATAACTGAAAATCTACTCTCTTTTTTTGTTATATAGTCATTGGCAATCATGTTATTGTCATCGCAAGACCTGAAGTTTTTTACGAGAACTGTGAAGAAATTCAATACCTTCATCCCTTCAAGGAAATGACGTCCATGTGTTTAACTATCATTTCTAATGTAACAACTTGGATACCATGTACATTATTGATAAGTGATAACATAAATCCGAGAAATTTCCTGAAATAAATATATCACAAAACTACACTATGTTTTTCCAATTATGTGAAATACACATATGTACACACCACTAGTATATGTGTGAAATCAAGGTGTTGATTTAATCTATGTGATGAACAAATTGTCAAAGGTAAGTAGTGTTTTCGATCGGTGCATAGTGCAGTCGGCACTTGGTAGCCGGTCCGACCGGGCGGGTGCCGCTTGGTCAGACCGGTGGTGTTGGGGCGGTCTGACCGGGTACCCCGACGGTCAGACCAACAATCTCCGGAAGGGAGTCGTTTTCGGGTTATTTTCGTGGAATTTCTAGATGGTTTCTATTTGTATGTGATACTATTATGTACTAATATGAGTCAAGTTAGTGTGAACTTATATTCGAATATGAAGTTTCTGTTGTTCATGTGCAGGTATTGCTTGAAGCCATGGGAGTATAGCCGGTGATGGATCGGGAGTAGACTTAGGAGAAGTTGAGGTCCAGACAGTCAAGATATCACGCGGGATGCTCACGCTAGAGAACAATGCTTGTGGAGGTGAAAGTTTTCATATGGCATATACGTGATGTTGTGTGCGTATGGAAAGAGGAGTCAGTTCTAGTTGGATTCATGGCTAGGGGTAGCCACGTTGTGGAAAATAGAAGAGGGGTCGAGGCTAGAAGAGATAGATATTTTGAGAGAGAAAAGTTAGGGTTTGCTTCGAGGTTTCAATACTAGTTTGTGGGTTGAGAGAGTAGTGCTTTAGATGCACTTTGTAACACATATTGATACAATAAATTTGATCTATTTTCAAGAGCTTCGTGATACGTGTTTTTTCTAGATCCCGACAGTTTGACCGAAGTTTATTGTGCGGTATAACCGACGGGTAGACACACTGGTGGCAGGGAGACAGTCGAACCTGCGGCGGTCAGACCGGCAGCGATCCAACGGTGTAACAAGTGCGGGTTAATCCAGTTTGAGAGTAACTTTTATTTCTGCTAAAAGTTTTGGTTTTTTATGTTCCAACCATTCACCTCCACCTCTGATTGGCTTGGTTTTGTTTTCGATCATACAATATACAGTTCCATCATTCTGCCTCTATTGAGAGTGCGT